AATGTGACAGTGAGATGAAATACATGTGGAATGACAGCGTGAAAGATGGGTTACAGGCAAATGCTGAAAAAACAGGCAGTTATCACGTCGACAGGTCAAACTATGAGTGAACTCTGTGTATAAGACAAACTTTTTTCATGCTACTATAACATATTCCTAGCCAAAATATTTAATACTGAATCTGTAGTGCTCACACATAGACAGTAAGAAAAAAGATGAGTGACAAGAGTATCCTGGGATAGTGCCCAGCAGCATTGCTTGGGGCTTTTTGCACAACATCCACTTTCCTCCTTAAACCAGTAGAATCACACTGCCTGAGCTCAATACTTGAATACAAAACCGTTAGGATAAATCAGAATTGTTAAGTGTGCTCCTCTGGGAAAAGCAAGGTGGGTGCAAATCTTTGTAGTCAAAAAGTTGATAAAGGTGGTGAGATATGAAACTCATGAAAAGCACGAGTATCTTCTGAAAAACAATCATTTGCTGGTCTGCGATAGCAACAACTCTTGAGTTTCTATGGGTGAGGGGGAGATTTCATGGATGAACAGATGAGTTGCCAGTAAAATTAAGATATCCTCACAGCTTTTTGTATTTTAGCGTTCATGCAAATTTGGAAATAAAGAATTGGCAGATGGTTCTCATGAACTGCATCTGGAAATAAAAGATGCCAAAGTTGACTGCATGAGTAATATTCGGATAGGCTAAGGAGGGTGGCATGTTGCCAAAAGCTTTCTGAAGGCTGTCATCACGACTGATGCAGAGCAAGAACAGCGTGAGGGAAATGTATCATTAAGATATGGATATTAATTTCCTTGGTGTGTGTGTGTGGCAGAATCTAAATATCATTGCCTTTCCATGTTACCATCAAGTCCCTGGGTAAATATGAAAAATGACACTTCCTTTTGTCTTACAAATACTGCCCATCTTAAAGAGTTTCTCCCCGGAGACCCTCAGACAGGGGAATGGCCAGGTAGTTTGTCAGTTAAGTAAAATTCTAGGATACAGGTAGTTTGCAGTAAATTGAATGCGTTAATGGGTAAATTTAATTTAATGGGTAAATTTAATTCATTTTTTTCCCCAATATCTTCAAATCACAACTTTTTATGCTGAAAGCAATTGAAAAAGTCTCATCAGACCATGTACTCTTTCTGAGCAACTAGCATAAATGGATGTGAAACCAGGATTTGTAATAGAGGTTCATCACGCTGGAGAGGCTGTGAAGAGAGAGCAGGTGGGGAGAGGAACCTCCCTTCTCAGTGCTGTATGTGGGATATTCGTGTTTTCTGGATAGAAGTGAGCAGGGCAATAACCAGTGGTGGTGACTGTACCACATCAGGCCACCTGCTTTGCCTGTTCAGTGAGCTGTGAGGTAGCACAAATAAAGATCTTTCTCATTACCCTACGTTGGACTGTGCTTACTCACATAAGGAAAGAATGGTTTCTTTCTTGAGAAGGAAAATGGGGAGTGCTGAAAAGGAACTTCCAGGGGAAATAATAATAAAAAGTATATTAAAGATGTCAGTATCAAAATGATATCTTTTCCTGTTTGGGAACTCCTTAGTAGTTTCTGATGAGCGTATGCATGCACTGTAATTATAGTTTATCTGTGTCCAGATTGAGTTCAGTTTGAGGAAACATATCTGTAAATGCAGATATACACTCCTAAAACTAAGGAATGAGCAAATATTCCTAGCCATGTTTCACACTGTGTACTCTGGGTCCTATAATTCTGTAGTGTTACAGCACATAGTTCAGATCAGTGTGGGTATAAACCATGGCGAATTAGCCACCACAGCATTACCTAAGCATTGGCATTGATTGACTGGGTTGCTGTAGCAGCCTGGGGAGACCTACTCAGGGAGAAGGAGATGGAAGGAGGGATGCTAATAGTTGAGACTGAAATGAACTTCATGAACAGCAATGGCATGTGCCAAAAGATCACTAGCATGGGGATCTCTGCATACTTCAGGCCCAAAAGTTATTTCCAACAGATACAGTATTTACAGGCAAGCAGCAAATTATAAATCACAGGTAGATCACTACTATCTGGAGTTCAGTTGTCTTGGACTCAGACCTCTTGTTATCTGCAGAAATGTTCTGGCCATGCACTATGGTGGATGTAAATACAGCTTCTGTGCAGCTGCTCGGATAAGTATTCAATGAGGTGAAAGGGCATCAGCTGGGCATTTTTCACAACCAGACAGCAGCCTAGGGCCACCAAGGAAGGTGGATTCATAGAATTGCTCAGGTTGGAAAAGACCTTAAAGATCATGGAGTCCAACCACAAGCTAACCATCCTACCCTAACTCTAACAACCCTCCTAAATCATGTCCCTGAGCACCACATCCAAACTGCTTTTAAACACATCCAGGGATGGTGACTCCACCACCTCCCTGGGGAGCCAATTCCAGTGCTTAACAACCCTTTCTGTGAAGAAGTGTTTCCTGATATCCAACCTAAACCTCCCCTGGGGCATGATTATTGGCTTTGGGCCTTACTGAGAGGTCAGAGGGGAAACATTGGGCTGCAGTATCATCTACAATGGAAGAACATGCAGCTTTTTTTCCATCTGGACAAGTCCCCTTAAGTACAACGATGTGCAAACATTTGGTGCAGTTATTTTACAAACCACAGCCTTAGTTTTCAAGACACCTCTGTTCCTTTGGGTCAAACTAATTCACTTGCTAAGAGTCACTTTAAAGCCAAGCGCATCTCTATTGTTACTGAGCTGTATCTCTCCATTGGTGAGATGAAGTCTCACTTCAGTCTTGTTTATATTCCCTGACTAGGCAAGGTTTCTCTTTCTAAACTCTTAATTCTATTAGAAGGGAACACAATCCCTCTTCATAGCTGGAAATACGCAGATAGGGTTCAATCTAATTAATGCTGACAACTTTCACTAGCTATGCATTTGTAATCTGTGTAGAACTGGAGAAAAATATCTGTGGAAGAATATTACTGCTGTTGGGTTGGAAGCATTTACTGACATGAAGGTCAGCGTATCACTCAGTGGTGGTACATGGATCGAGGACTTATCTTCCTTCTTTTCTAAGGCTCAGCATCTATTAGATTGCAAGATCAGATTAGATTTCAGATTTGGCAGCGGTTTTGATGTAAGCATTTCAGTCAAGCATCTTTTCAAAATGTATTTAAAATCTCAAGGTAAGTATTGTTATGCTTTTTGGACTACTATTAGGATTGCTTTGCTTGTTAGGAGCAAGAAGCATATCCATGAAGTGATGGATGAGACTGGGTGTTAACAGCTCTCCTTGACATAACCTGACTAGTGGCCCCACAAACTGAAGAGGACACTGCATCGTATGTATTTTTAAAAGCTTAATGTGCCAGATTGTTTTAACTGAAATGAATAATAGAAAACAACAACAAACCTTTTGGGGGTTGAAAATTGAATACTATTCCTATTTGTCTCCCATAACTGGAAAATAAAGACTTCAATTATTAAAACTCACCACCATTACTTTACTGCAGACTCACCATTAAAAAAATGACTTGAATGACTTGACTTTGCTTTAGCATTTGAATGAAATTAAAATGAAAGGACCTGTAAGGATACGTAATGGAAACACACAGAAACAAAGCTTTATTGGAACACTAAAAAATCATTTTGAACTTCCTGTTGAGTATCAGCTCAGGAAATCAGAATGTGCATAAAGGAAAAACGTGAAATTTCAGTCTGCCTCCAACCTATTTCAGTTAATACCAAAACTGACCTCTTGAAATAGTTTATAGAGCAGCATTGTATATATTGCAAAAAGGAAAAAAGTAGTGTCCTTATAGAAGAAACAGCTTTCAATTAATTTATGATGTAACTTACTAGAAAAGGGTAATTTAAAGAGCTCAAGGAAAACACAGTATTCAATTTAGAATTAATAATGAGAAATCACTGCCTTTCTGCCCTTTTATCCTTTAAACAATTTAACATTTTTACATACAAAATAGAAAGTTGCCTACTTACAATGTGACTTCTTCTGTGTGCTGCTGTGTTCTTTCTGAAATCCATATGCATCCCATTCCTCTTTCAATTTTTTATCTAATTCCAATTTGTGCATTTTTTAGTTCATTATATGAAGAAAGGGGAAAACATCTTCCAGATTCACCTTTTTCCCCTCAAACCACCCCCACCACAGCTCATTCAGTAGAAAACCCAACACTTCTCAATGAACAAAAGGGATACGGTAGGTAAATGGGCTAGCATTATTCAGATAAATAGTTGTTACAAGCAGAAATCTGTTACTCTAACATTTTTATTTTGTGAACAGAAAAGTCAATACACAGAATGCCTAAGCATTCTATGCAGCCTCATCAAGAACCACAGAATCACAGAATGGCTTGGGTTGGAAGGGACCTCAAGGGTCATCACGTTCCAACCCCCTGCCACAGGCAGGGCTGCCAGCCACTGGATCAAATACTGGATCAGACTGAAGAAAGAGGGAGGCACCTCACCTACTGCTCTGACCTGCTTTGTGGAAGCAACCTGGGGTAGCTTCAGGTTGATGGTGTCAAGACGTTTGTTGGTGTGCTCTCTAACGATGTCCAAAGTACAGGATGTCCCATTGTACCACCAAACAAAAGAAAATGATAAACATTTGTGCAATCAGCCTGCTTTGTAAGAACACTGCTGCCAACTCAGATGGCAGAGCACACTGGCTTTGCCTTTAATTCCATTTCTTTAAACTGATAACAATGCAGAGAAAGGTGAACTAGCTCTGAGTAGCAGGACTGCAAGGAAGTACAGATCTTCTTATGTGCAGCTTTACTAGCTTGGATTGTAAGAAACTTTAGCACTAATCCAATCAATGTGGGAAGAGTGAAGCTCTCCTGGGCTGGTACTGATTTGGATCAGCTTCGCAGCACCCCTCGCATCATTCACCTTTTGGTCTTCTTTGAATGTTGCGCTTGTTTTTTTTAACTGGCCGCGATACTCTGAGAGCAGACGTGACTACAAGCATATTCAGCAGCAGAATCAAACACTCAATCCATTTTCTGTTCTCTACTTACATTTTATTACAGACTAATATGAAATCATTTCATATTCATACTCGGTTTTAATTACTCGTGAGCAAACTTAAACCAGTTCTGAATGTTTATATTTATTGCAAGCAGATCCATGTCTCCTGCTCATATGTTCTACGTAAGGATCCAAAATGTGACTGAATATAAACAAGTTATATTTGGTTATCTACAGAAATTAAAGTTAAAAATAGCACTGAAAAGAAACTTTACAGTAATGTATTCACACACTGACTCTTCAAATCAAATAAATGAAGTGGTATAGGATAATCTAAACATTAGATTTGAAGGCTGATTTATTTTCAAATAAATGCACCTATAATTGTACAATAAAAATAAGTGTTAGTATTTGGTGCCAATGACTACAGACATCTTTAATGTTAATGCACAGATAACTACCCCCAGCCCCCGGGCAGCACTTCGCAGATTCTACTTTACATTCAGTCATGGAAGGACATGTAAAATGGAGTGCGTACGTAGCACAGAACTTGTGAGAGACCATGCATGTTAAAATCCTGTGAATTCTCGTAAGGTAAAAAATTAAAGCTTCATCGATGGATTTGTAGATTATTCTGCAAAGTAGAATCGCGTACTTTTTCACTTTCACAATACTTTCACAAATTTCCATTAAAGCTTTCTTAACAGAGACAGTAGCATGAGCACAATGACCCCACTGGCTTCCAAAAAGAAAAGTAGTGCAGTGCTCAATTCGGCTATCTTTTTCCTTTTGTATTTGCAAGCCAGTTGGGACAAGACAGGCTAATGCAAGCAAGAAAGTAAACTGTAAGCTTTTATATTAAGTGGCTGAACAAACAATTATTGTACAGTGTAAAACCAAAAAGATCCACATCTTTTGCCACGAGCCACTGCAGGAATATACAAACTTCAGTGGCTGAAAAGCCTGAAATACTTCCTAAGTCTTCAGATACATTTGGTTAGCGCTTACCAGTTTCAAGACATTTATAGAAGCAGTTATGGAGACATTATGCTGTTAAAGCTGCAACGATTTAAACAAGGCGAGTTAGGAAGTTATATAGATTTTTATACTTTTCCCCATTCTTACAATATATAGAAACCAGTCTCCTTTCAGTGCCCCATCCATAGTAAAACATTCTAATTCATTTTGATCTAACTTCTAAGTTTTCATCTTGGTATTGCCTGGTCGGTTTACAGATTAACTCCAAGTTGCCACCTGCTGCAGTGGGCTAAGTTTGCATGGCAATAGGAACAGAAACAAAAACCTATCAAGTGAAATGTTGGTGTTCTATGGGTTTTCCATCAAATGGTCTATTTTAATAAACAGTACCGACTTTTAAAGGTAGAAATATTGCTAAATCAAAGCAGAAATTTCCACTTAAATTCAAGCACTTTTCCTCCTCCAAAAATGACACATTCAACTAAAATTTCCCAAACACATAAAGAGGTGTTTCAGCATGAATAATATTGTAAATATTCTAAGTGCTGGTCTACACTAAGTTTGCAATCAATTGCTTTGTTAACAGGCTGAACGGGAATGCAGCACTTTCAAAATCATCGAGCAAAAAATCTCCTTATTTAAGGCTAAAAGATGGAACTCAAGAAGAAAAAAGCAGGAGGGTTTATAGAATAGAAAAGCTAGCAGTAACAGTACAGCACAGAAAGTGTATCGCTCTAATTGCCAGCAAATGGTTTTAATTAATGGTTTGGGTGACACTGACAGAGCAACTGATCTATATTTCTAATTTAACATTCATTAAAATTTTAACATTCAGCCACAACTTCACTCTAAGCTAAATTTAAGTGGCCAAAACTCATAAGTATAAAAAAAGCCTTCAAAACATATATACTTAAAAAAAATAGAAATGGTGTGTTAACAAATGTATGCGTAAAACAGATTTATAAATAGCTACAGTATGAAAAATATTTCAGTGCAAAGGCAATTTTAAGATTTCTAAAAAATACATTACAAATAATTTGTTAACTACACACAAGAAATTTGTCACTGCTACTGGTATAAAATTTATACGCATAATAACTTTGTTTAAAAAATATATACACCAGTGTTTTATGTAGGGGATGGTTTGAACTGACCAACATTCAAGTATGCAATGGCATATATATGTACACACTCCCACACTCATATACATGTTTATGTATTTCAAAATGTTGCTGCTATGAGGACATTCTTTGAAACACAAAAGTGCTACATGTCAAATGGTAAAGATACTTTCATTTGTGGTGCTCACCATCAGCCTTCTATAATTCTTCCCTTTTCTTTGGTATAATGAAAATTTCACTGCTGACTTTACAATCTGCTTGTCTCAGGGAATATTCAATATTTCACTGCTTGTTGAACAGGAAAGTCACTCAGAATATTGTGTGAAACATTTCCTACTGAGTTGATTTTTCTCTTACTCAAAAGTAAATTATTAAGTAAACCATTTTGTCTCTATGGGAAGTCATTTTTCTCCACCACTCACGTTCATTAAATACACAGCTAATGTTTTGCTCAAGTCTTCCAATAAAGACTGCAGCTCTGATTCCAAATATTTTGTTTTCATTTTCACACTGCAACACATTTTTAGTTAATATCCTCCCACAAGTATTTAAAGACTGTGGTTATTAACGAGTTAAAAACACCAGGCTAAACTAGACTGAAATTGGATTATTCCTTCAGGTAGTTTTGTACCCCAAAATAAAACACTGGACTAAAGAAACAAGACAAGGACACAGCTAATAGTTGAATAAGTGCAAGGTAACATAAACGTAGCAGAGAAAATAGAAGTAAAAGTTGGCTGTCATACTTGAAGTAATACAAACAGAATCTTTGCAGTCAAACTAATTTCTATTATAATTATGTTTCAGCTGTTAGTAATAGCTGTGTGCCACCTACTGGTTTGCTTGCAAAAGTTAACAGTTGGGTATTTCTTGCATTGTAATGCATCTCCTCAGCCAATTAGGTCTTATCACTAAAAAAAAAAACAAAAAAAACCCTAAAGAAATAAAAAGTCAAAACTAAAAGGATAATAAAAGATGCTTATTTGCAAAAATAGCCTTTTTTTGAGGGGGGAAAAACCAAACCAAAAAGGTTCTCTGTATAAACTTACTACTATACTTACTAGTATGCATACTTTAAAAGCATGGAGATAGTTAAGAAGTGGGAACACTGCGTACCTGCATCCTTGACGAATTCACGAAGACACTGGAGGCAAAATCCTTACATTCAATTTTTCTGTAGATATCGACACTGATGATACCTACTGAACAGCCAACTTGACTTCATATAGAGTGCACGTACTCTACACAAGGATCATTTTGCCTGTTTTTCTACAGGGGAGTACTAACTGAAAACCATACGAGGCCCTGATTTGGCCACTTACAAGGAAGTGAACATTAGAGAGTGTTTCTTGAAAGCAGATTTGCACAGAGGAAACACCAGTTTGTTCTACAGAAAAAGCAAAGAAAGAAAAAGGATAGAGGAAAATCAGAAACAGCACTTAGTAATATGCTTTAGGAAACTTTCATCGGAGATAACTGAGGTCATCGCTTCTGGCTGAAAATTAAAACTGTTGATCTCAGAATGTAGGTCACTGACTGAAACTATACACTTCAAGTAACAAAATGACTAAAGATGACAGAAACAATAAATGCACAAGAATCTTGACACAGGAAGATGAGTAAATTTTAGTGCTACCAGTCTCACAGTACCAGACTGTGCAGATTGTTCATTGCCCCAGTAGTTCAAAACATAGAAAGGAGGCCTATCGGCCCGGAAGGTTTCATACTTCTAGCTCTTGATCCTGTTTGTCTGAGCAATACCTCAGACAGCAAAAGCCACATATAGTTTGATATACTTCTGTGACATGTTTGTTTCCTAAAAAAAGAAATAAACAAAGGTACAGTTTTTAAAGGCTTGAATTGGTGTTGTGTCATACAGACGTTTCCAAACCTGACCCACTGTAGCGGTAGCCTGCACTGGAACGACAATGCTTATTTGAGTAGCCAAAGACAGATGGAAGCACTGAATAATCAATGCCTCTCCAGTGCGTAAACATTGTTTTTTTAGAACGAGAATGAGACCTTCTTGCTGGGGAATTGCTGCAGTCATTGCTCCTGTATCTTGGGCTTTTGAGGCAGGCAAGAGGTGTGAATTCCGAGATGTGGTCCCGACAGTGCCTTGATGCATTCTGTTGAGAAAAAGAAAAACAAGTAAATAGGTGATTTCAGAGATAAAAGCCTAATCTTGCATGCTGTCTGCCTTCCACTAAATCGCCACTTTGGCTATTTGCTTCATGTGAAGGTAAAATCCCTCTTTGAACATGACTGGTTGTATATCTAGACCTAAAAAATTAGGTGCAATTTTACATATAATCTCTAAGCCTGATAATGGGTTCTCTAGAGAAGAGATGAAGACACAGAGGACTGCTTTCAAGTTGATTGTTGTGTTGTTCTTTTTTTTAAATCTAGTTTTACAATTCACCATGCGATCTCTTTTTGTACCTCTTTTTACCTCAGAACTATTTTTAGTCAGGTATTCTTAGGGGGAATTTGGAGGCAGAACAGACTCAACTACTTTGCCCTGTACTTCCAATAAGAAGGAATTCTTTACAGTTGGTTTGAGCCAATAGGTAGAATTTCCAGAGGTTTTTAGTGCGTTTGTTTTGTACTTCTAAGCAATGCCAGGCTTTGGAACTGCTCAGGTTTATATATAGCATAAAGTACCTGTAGGCAATCATAACAGCAGGTTTATCTTAGTCTAATTGTCCATTAATGTTTATCTATACCATGCAATCATCCCACGCGTGGCAGAATTGGCACCCCTAGTCTGGAAATACTCAGGACCACGCTATTACCATGGTACATGACAAGACCATGAAATGAATGAACAGACTAGAAGGAAGGCAGCACAGCACTTCCCCCAGTGAGATTATCTTATCTCCTCATGAAATGTACTTTTAATTTCCAGACATAGGGCTATGTGGGTTATATGATCATGTTTAAGATACTAATGCATTCTAACCATGATTTGGACAAGCATTATCAATGATTCTCTCCATGAGTACTATTTAAGCCAGTTAATATTCTAGTCTTGATCATGGATTTCCTCCTTCCCTGTTAACATTAACACAGTAATAAGAGGGACAAAATCCCAAAATAATAACATAGCTTACAGAAGTTTGCCTACTTTCAATGCCAATCACAAGCTTGAACTGCTGTGCTAACATAACCAAAAGTATGTAGAAAGTTCCCTTAAAACAGTTTCTCTCAAAGAGAGTCAGTGAACTGTACCAAACTGCTCACTAGCAACAAAGCCTGTATTCTTTTACACACATATAGATCAAATACTAACATTAGTACAGAAAAATTTAGGGAAACAGATAACAGAGCGGCTAACTTTCTTTTGGAAATGTCAGTGGGCAATGCAGTCCTGCACTGTATAAGTTCTTTTTCCTATTCCTCCAGCTACAAAGTGAAGATTTTAGTTACTCTTTCTAAAGATAAAACGGTATTTTTTCTACACAGAAAATGTTGGGTTTCAATACGCCATGCCTGACACTACTCCAGAAAGCTGGGGCTTTCTACTGCTAATTGTTCAGCATCACTAAAGGCAGTAGATACTGGCAGATTCACAGCCCCAGACACACAGCCCCTGACCCAGGGTCCTACTCACAAATAAATCAACTACTTCTGTATGACAATCTCTCTGTTTTACTGTCTGCATTTGGTCTATGCATGTATCGAAAAACATGAGAGATAAGAGATAAATTGCTGATGTGTGAGACTTCTGACTTCATGTTGACACCGCAGCGTAATGCGAGCACACCCTGCTGTAATAACTGCTGCTCTTACAAAACAGATGTAAAACAACACCTATTTGTAACACCATGTATTAACTGGACTTTAACATGGGTATATCCACTCACACAGACACACTGTCCTCCTCACATGACCAAGTGTCTGAGACAAAAAGAGCTTACCTGTGACACAGAACATCTTTTGCAACAACTAGGCTCTCCAAATAAAACAGAATTATTTTGCATCAATATTGATGAAATACAGGAAAAACTCTGGAGGAAACAGTTGATTTGTAAACAGTACAGTTCACCAATAGAAATCCATCCAAACTGGCAACACGTACAGTACTGTTACCTAGCTTTGATCTAATTATGGCTCGAAGCTGAAAGAGTTCCTTCAAGAAGTGGCCCATCGCTGTTCACCAGTGCATTTAGGGCTGTTTTATGTCTCATACTCTTCTGCAAGGATGAGGAAAAACAGTGAGACTTGCTGAACACAGGAGAGAAATATGAATGAATTGTACCATTTGGTACAGGTCTAACTATTGTAGCAGGGCCCTATATAGTGACAGATTTTCTGATAGGTTTAAAAGGGAAAGGTTATCCAGAGTATAACAAATTTTCTATTACTTGATCCTGAGGTCTAATTGTTTGAGCCATACTTTCACAATTCAATTTCAAACCGTTAAAAATACTTAATTACTCTCATTTAAAGTGTTTAAACTGTGGCATGACTAAGTATCATGGGCTCCCTGCTGACAATAAAGTACATTATTTATCAATAAAAGATCTCCCTTTGATATGATGCCATGTGGCTGCACATGGAGCAGTGCCCTGTAGGGCAGCCCCACTGGTCCAGTATTTCCTTAGGGACCTCTCTCCCAGCCAGTCCAGGCACTCCAAATTAAGGAGTGGATGTTCTGCTTCTTCCAAGAACTACTGGAGCACTGCACTATACAGAAGGTGATGGCGTCAGTGTTGATGAAGGCTTACAACCTAACCATTACCACCTGCTGAACAGGGGCAAGGCAGTTATTATGGTAAGTTCTTGTATGGGGTTCAAATATTTCAACAGCAGGATCATTTCTTTGTTTTCTGTAGAAGAGGAGCCCAACACGTAACAAAGGCAACAGCTGGCTTCTTTAAGAGGCCCGTGCTGTTTTGTGTGCAACAGCAGCCAAGCCCAGTGAGGAAAACAGAAAGATGGTGAGTCCACAGAAAGGCTTCCCCAGGCAAAAGCAGGGTGGTGGGAGCAGCAAAGGGCAGAGATTCCACGCTGGGCCTGATGGGCTGATCTGATGACTGAAGTGAAAGCAAAGTACAAAAACCATCAATGAGAAACAAAAGGAAAAAGAAAAATATTTCTTAAAAAGGGATGAAAACGTAGAAGTTATTTACAGCTCACAACCAATAGGCCTGGTATTTCAGCTAGAAATACTTGGGAGTACAGAAACATTGTCCATCGAAGTGACAATTTAAAATGAAAAGAAAGTAATTCAAAGCCAAGTTACATTTTCCATAACAAAACTGCTTAGCTTCTCTTCTCAATGAGAGAATTAAGAAAAAAGAAATATCATCAATTAATATAAGCTGGATATTAAAAAAGCCCTATTGCCTCTTCAAAGGTAAGGCTGAAAGAAACGTTACAGCAGCATATTTTGCAGTTGAAGAACAAAATTCAGCTTGTTTCATTGAGCCAAATACTCACTGCGACTAAGTGTGACAGACATGAGCAAGTTGTGATTTAAATTACCAAAGACAACCGATTCCTCCAAAGCTTTTGCAGAGTTAATGTTTGAGCACAAGAAAGTCAACAAGTTGTGTATATATGCACATATATACACACATACATATATGGACATATATGTATGCACATATACATGTATACATACATGAATGTATACCTGCATATATAAATGAAAAGATCTTTCCGAGAACCCAGAACTAGATTGGCAGTGTTTTAAAAACTTTGAATGATGACGATGGTAAGCAATGACCTACCACACTCTGGAGTGACACCCAAGTAATAGAATAGGTAAGAAAGACAAGAATTGCTTCAAAGGCTGTGTGCCATCTGATTGTCTGAGCAGAACTAAGTTAGTAACCTGCAAGGTGACTGCTAGCCCTGTGTTAGTCTTGCCAACTGTTCCAGAAGCCCTTTGGCGAAAAGGTTGTAGAGTTTATGGGAATGCAGTAAGTTTAAAAATAGTATTAGTTTCAAACTCACTTCAAACCAATCCGAAAGATCTTAAAAGCCAATTTTAGTCAAAATTTGCAATAGTGAAAACAACTTTGTGTATCTTCCTTGTGACTTCTACAATTATGGCCATTTTTATTGACTATAAGTTTTGAAGGAAGGAAGAAGACGGATTTTTCATCTTAATCTGTTAAAAATTAAGGACATAAAATCTGTAATGGAAACCAAACCAAGAGCCTCATAGTATGAAGTCAAAAGGAGCTTTCTTGCAGACTGCAATGAAGCCAAGATTTATCTGCCTTTCTTCTACTTCTGTTAAATTATATCTCATAGACTTCTGAATCTTGAGCTATTTTCTTTTCAGAAAGAAGCACAGATTTGAAAATGCCTGCTAGAAATAACTTAGTGCAAAAAAGTTGCATTTTCAGCAGAGTGGATATTTTAATAAATTTGAGAGACTTCTTAAAGGGCTTCCAGTACCAGCTTTTCCATACCAAAGCAGGATATCAGCATATTCAGAATTATTGCTCTATGTGGCAACTATTCCTCTTGGTGATTTACAGTGCAAGCAAGACATGCATTCACTGATAGAAACACAAAAAACACAAAATGGGGTCTAAGAATCTTAGATTCTCGAGTCTACATTTTGTAGAATTCACTAACAACGTGACAAAAATGATGGTGACAGTGACAGATTATGACAATGACTCATAGAATCCTCACGATAAATAAACAGAAATAGGAAAAATTTACAAGTATTTTGCAAAGTACAGTTGATGTGAATCAGAAATGGAGATAATGAGTACAGTAAATAACTTCTGATGACAAACTTTTTACTGTCCTTCGAATGAAATGGCCAAGCATGCAGAAAGGCAGAAAAAAAGTCACCTTTTGTTCCATTAGAAACTTAGACTGCTTGAAGTCTGAGAAAGCATAAAGATGGTGGACTGCTCAACAGAAAGGCACTGATGTTTAGTCTGATTTTCCCAGGAGATTGTAGGAGGTAACCGTGCACATCATTTATATTTAAAGCAAGGCAGCAGTTATTTAGACAAAGCAGATTGGAAGACAGGAGGAAAACAAAGAGAGGGAAGAAGAAACACAATGGATATATCTGGTTAAAAGTCAAAGATTTTGTTCTAAATATTAAAAAAAGAATATTGCCAGTGTTAGCCCAAAGTTTGCCGATTCATTTTCCAGCACTAACATATGATGTTGGTGAAATTCCTTTATTTAGGGCTGTGTATTTGCATTAACCCAGCCTCATTCTCTCTCGTTAGACTTCAATTAAGCATGCAGAACCTACACCAAAACCAGCTTCTTCCACAAATAGCATATATGACAGAGAGATCTGTTAAAGATATTGAAATAGAGAAATGCTAAATGCTGATCTGCCTAGAAATACTTCCTTGCTTTCTGCTTTCTTTCCCGCCCTCCTGAGGTGAGGCATTTTTACACCAAGGTATATTCAAGGAATAGAAAACAATGGCAAGTGGGCTTACTTTTCAGGTGTAAGAAGAATTTTTTTTACCTTTGGCAGAAGGGAAATTTTACAGTCTTGGAAATTCCTTTATTCATTACCGCTTAACACAAAGTATCTTCTCCAATAAACATTAAATGTCATCTGACCCCTACACATATACTCACTAATAACTCATTAGTTTAACCTAATGATGGCAGTTGATGTGCTGAAAAGAGTGAGGGCAATAACATTAACTACCAGGTTCAAAACTTCTACTGTTCTTCACCTTCTAACATATGTAATGTGTGAATATTTATTGGAATCAAAAATACACCCAAATTCTTTGGTTGGGATTGGTCTGATGCCCATAGAATAACACCACGTTTACCCCAGAAGTTGGCTTCTCTATAAGTCTCAGCAGAGCAAGCTTGCATTTACACAACAATTTCTGCTTTTGGATTTGGAAGAAAGGTTACAATAGATTTAAAAATACTTTTCTCATTGGCACAGCAAAGCACACATATATAGAAATAATGAAATCAAACTGATAAAATGTAAGTTGATACATAAAAGAGGAAAAAATGTTTAATAAAGTAGGTTTTAATACACTTGTTTGTTTTGTAACAGGCCCTGCTTCAGTACTAAATAGTTTGTAAGATTCTACAGATAATGTAACATGAATGTTGGCATGAATTCATGACATATTCCCTATCAACATACTATATATTTATCACGTTTATTTTAAGTGTACAAATTACAGGTTTATTCAACAACAAACACATATGTAGTTGTAGAGTGTGTTGGTATAGAGCTTTAACTGTTTGTGCAAACCCTACTTTAAAGGGATCTTCAACATTATGGCTTGCTCCCTTCCTACAGGTTCTGAACATAGCTTATTTTAGCTGCTTTTCCATTTTAAATAACTACATTCAGCTTGCACAGTAAATGCTAAAACGTCTGTATTAGAGTTTCCTTAATGACGTAAAATGACTACAGATGTATTTCCTTGCTTTAAAATATAATTACCTCAACTCAGGGGTGTGGGCAGTACCTGTGAATATAACTTCATGACAGCAGGAATAACTGCTGTACAGGCTGATATAAGCGTCCCTTGTCTATGCTCACTGAGATCCCAAGCTCCTTGTACTCATTTCCTCAAATCGAGAATCATGTTGAACCATAGAGCTATCTCCCACCATCCTTATCAACTGATTTCCCACTGGCTGCTGATATTGGAATGTATCAATCACCAAAAGTATTTAATTCAAGTATTTACCACTCTATAAATGGTACGCAGCTTCTTTCAGCATGCTGGCTGGTGAAAGAAGTGGCTGGTATACAAAACCAATGATATACACAGAGATGGGGAACCTCTATTCAAATCTTATCTCTAAACTTGAGAAAGGTCTAATTATTAGAAACTTGTGACATCAAAAACTAATTACATGGAAAAATATTTTTACCTGGATTCTTTCTGTTGCTGTAGGCCACAACTGTCTGCATAAGACCTTCTTGAGAACATCTGGAAGAAGGCTAACAGTTATGAGCAGAATTATACCCAGCCATGCAGGACCACTAGACAGCATTTGCATGAACACATAATACATCCTCTGATAATTGAGAAAAGGCCTGGCAAGAAAAAAAGTTAGATATTACACTTCAGTACACATTAGACAGAAAAGACTGGCACTGTTAAACATAGAAGTTACAAAAATGATAAAATACTGAAGGTTTAACTTCCCAGTTTGTTAGGATTTATCCATACCAGTATTCCCAAAAGGACATCTAAACATTCACAGACTACAGAGTTGCTTCCCTCTTGCCTGTCAGGGTGTAGGAAATATCAGGCTGTCCTTTCTCCCAAGCTGCCTCTCCCTTGCAAAGATAAAAAAAAGTCTGATCTCATACACAGGACTCCTGATGGACACAACTTCGGTGTGAGTTCCACTCCCTGGCTCTAACATAGACTGCTACAGCTACCTCACTCCAAGACAAGCTGCTATGCAGGTGGCTAATCCCCAGGCAACACAGACCTGACCTACTCTGAAATTGTACCTCAGATAGACAGCCTCAGCTACATGAACAAACCCTTGGACTATTTTTGATGGAGACAGTTTTACTGGCAGTCTGAGGTCTGATATTCTTCTCCTCATACTGTAATATTTTTTAAAGCTTTACAGTGAAAGAAGAGCTCAGCATTCTGTAATTATGATTACTGACACATGTAAAACGTGACTGCAATTGAAAGTTCTGCAATATATAAAAGCTAAATTGAGTTATTTGTGGGGAAAAAACATGAAATGTATGACACGTTTATGTTTCTGAAATAACATTTGCAATGCAATTTATATTAGGATTCATACCAAATAATTCCTCCCCAGAGCAGAGAAAAGACAATGTAGAATAGCAGTGATCCCCAGATCATGAAGTGATTTATCCACGTCCAATAGTGTGTATCTAGTGCAAGCTGAAAAGAACAATGCATTATATTGCATTACTACTATTTACAAGCAACAAAATATTCTGTAAAAGTCAAACTAAAATGACACCTTTTGAAAAAAAGGTAAGAATTCTACACAGAAGTAGCTGGAAAAAGTTTGTTTTTATTTTTATTTATTTTTCTTAAATTTTGGGCGCAGTTAAGAAGCTGTAGATTGCAAAAACTGTATTTAAACTAATATCCTACAATGTATGGTTGTAGAGAGAAAGTGGTATTAGCAAGCAGCAATGAGAAAACAAGCTCTAAGAAAGTTTCAGTGGATAAAACACAGCATATCTTACCTTCAGTGTAACCGTAAATACAAGCACAGTGAACACCAGTGTTCCAAAGGTCCAGTTTCCAAACATCTAAAAAAAAATGGTCCAAGGCAGTTATAACAGGTAATATCTTCCATTGCTTCATGAATTGTCCAGAATAAACTGGACAAAAGAAATAAAAAGAATAAACAGAATTTCCAGAATTGTCCAGTCTTAAAGCTATGTCTTACTATTACAAAGATACCAGGAATTGACAATCAAGCAACACCGAATTCTTAGATGATCTATCCACTGATAATTTTTCTGTTTTCCTGCCCTCGTGTATACATATACTACACACTGCATGGGATTTGCCCAAATGTGGTGAAAGAGCTGGCCCATGTGATTGCAAGTCAACTGTTCATCATCCACGAAAAATCCCTGTGACAGGGGGAGGCAAATGAATAATGGATAAAGGCCCCAAAGCCCATCTTTAACAAGAGGGCAAGGAGAGAACCTGGGACATTATATGCTTGTCGGGATCGCCTTGATCCCTGTAAAGATAATGTACTGTTAGATTCCATCCCATGTATGTAAAGTACAAATATAAAAATACAAATAATAAATAAATAAAAAAAATCGTGACTATTCAGCATGATTTACCATGAACAAATCACACCTGATCAACCAGTTTGCTTTCTATGAAAAAATGACTGGGCAGGCAGTTGGTTGGAGAGCAGTAAGAGTGAAAGTCTGTGAGGCAGTATGAACAAAAAACTGGCTGGACAACCAGACTCCAAAGAGATGTCAGTAGCAGTATGAAGTAACTGGAGGCTAGTTACTGGTGATGTTCTCCAGGAGTTGTCACAGACCAAACTGTTTAACCTCATGAACAGTCTGAGCAATGGAGCAGAACATACCCTCAACAAATTTGCAAATGATATCCAATTGAGAAGCAGCTGATAATCTGAAAGCAAGGATTCTATTGAGATGAACATCAACTGTTTGGTGAAATGGACTGACTAATCTCAAAAAGTTCAGCAAATGCAGGATTCTGCACCAGGAACAGAACAATTCTATGCACCAATGCATATTGGGGCCAACTGCCTAGAAAGCAATTTTACTGGAAAGGACTTAAGAGACTTAGTTGGGGTGAATAAGTTGAACCTGAGTTGAGTGTGCTGGTGTAAAGGCCAACCTCATAAAATATTAACAAGGATGCTATTAGCAGGTAAAGGGAAGTGATTCTGCCTGTCTACTCAGGACATAATTGTCCTAAGTAACAAGAAAAGTCCTGCTTAGGTCTTAGGAGAAATGTTTTCAGCATGAAGGCAGAAAAAACATTAGAACAGCCTGCCCAGGAAGATTATGAAATCTCCATCCTGAGGGATATTCAAAACTTGAAAAAGAATGGACAAGACCTTCAGCAACTTGATTCTACTTAGCGCCTCATAAAGTAGGGAGCCAAACTGGATCACCTCTGGGTCCCTTCCCACCTACATTATTATATATGAGCTCATTTTACAACAGATGACAGGAGATCCATACGGCAAACAATCATACAAATGCCCTGCCTTGGGAAAAACTCTGAATGGACATCATAGCCAGCCATATGACAGAAATCTGCAGGAAACTTGGTTGAGATGATCTGATCCAGTGAGAACAAAAAATTGTTTAAAAAATAAACACATAACTGACCTAAATATTCATTTGCCTGAACAATCATTTAATTACTTCAAAATTTCTGAATGTGTAACCAAGTGTACAGAGCAGAAAACCTTCAGTATTTTGAACTGAGTTTTACTAAGATATCTAACCAATGTTTTAGTGGGGTCACGTCCACGCTGCATAATTACGTGTGCCCTAAAAATGTATGTGTAGCTAATACCAGGCAGGAATCTGCTTCAGGAAACTGAAATTACACCAACATTTACTGGATTTCCCTTGCAGTGAAACTTTACAGTACTCTCATGCTGTATCTGGCATCTCTTGGAGTGCGTAGCGTCAGTCTAAGTTTCTGCACACTGAACAGATGTGTCCGTATTTCCAGTAAAAGCTGGTAGATGAGGAAAATAACAGGAAAACCTTCCTTGTCTCTGTTCATCAGTCTACATGGGAAGCACTGCGCTACAACCTAACACCTCATCTATCCATGTTTTTGGCTAAGGAAATGAGGCCATAGCACAGAGATAGCAGATACCAACAATCTGCTAATTCGGCACAAAGGAAAAGCAAGCAGAGCAATATGGGAAAGAATGTGCCCCCAAAATGACAGAATTTTCAGCACTGAATATATCTCAAGATACTATTTGTCACTTCAGGTTCTCAATCATTCTTTTGTAAGTCTGTTAATGAGCAGTTTATTAACAAATATTTTGTGCGCTCTGCTCCCAGCCTATCCAAGATCCCCCCCCTCCTTCTGCAATTGCATTTGTTGTATCTTCCACATTCCAGTTCATCACTCATTTCCATTCCTGTTTTATTTTTTTCCGACTCTGTTAATCCCTTTAACACAGTTTTTCCTACCTATCTCTGAACCCAACTTAATAATTATATTTAAACCCATCTACATCAAACGATAAGATGCAAAAAAATCACAGCAAATATTTTTATATGAGTAAAACTAAGATGACATTCATAATTTGCAATCACTGCTAGTGCCTTCTTTTCTTCCTTCTTTCCTTGTGTAGTTGGCCTCTGACTATATGGTTTTGCAACACCAGCAATGCCATATCCAAATTGGAACTTAATACAAAAAGTATCAACACAAAGTAATAAAGAGCTAAATCTTTGGCATCTTAGTTTTGTTTACCAGGAAATAACTGAGGCACACATTTACGGAGTCGATTTCAGTGATTGAAAGTATACTTTTCAGTATTCTAGCAGCATTACTGTACAGAATGCAAACAATGTCAAACATGCTTTTATTGAGAAACATTCTAGAGGAATGATGTTTGGAAGTAAACTGAGGAGTATTTAAATTTTACTGTGATACTGGGGGCAACTGAAGTAAAAGACATTAACTTTTTACTAGCTTTGCAAAAATGCTGTAATTCATTTTTGGAGGAAAGGAAGACTTGATTTTTTTGTTTGTTTGCTTCAGAAACCACTTTAACACTTTGGAATCTAACCTTAATCATCTGGTATCACTTATAATATTAAGTTCTTTTTATTCCCTTTCATATTTACTTCCATTGCCAGTTTCATAATAAGACATTATTGCAGTAAACATTTCAAATCTTCCAGTGTTGTACTGACATCTTCCAGACGTGAGCACAATTTAAATACTTGGAAATAACCATCAACTAGCATTCAAGTGTGTACGAACTCACATTGCATCTCTGACTCTTACCGAACACTACAATTCTGGAGCCTTTAAATGTAAAACTACAACTGAAAATCTGTACATTTTATGCATACAAACAAGCATGCTGAACGATATCAAATTGTCTAATCCACTGTGACACTCAGGAGCCAGAAACTCTCATCAAGCAAATAATTTCCCCATCAAATATGAACATGGGTATCTAATTCTAGACACACACACTGAAAATTTGCAATTAAGTGTTGATGCTTCTTCACTGAGAAGAACTTGATTTAGTACACACAACAGAAATAGATTAAAATTCCAAAAACGAACTCTACCAGAGCATCTGGAATAAAAATCATATACAAAATTCTGTACACATGAGAAGTCTAATTTTCAGGACTATAAATATGAGCTGATACAGATTCGAACAACTAAGTGAACATAATGGGATCAAAAAAAGAAGTGCTGCAGGGTACAGCTATGCCTAATGGAAAGCCATCCAGTCCTTACAAGAGCTGTCTTCCTTAGCAGATGTTCTTCCACTCACTGACAAATGCCACAACGATGGTATTTTATGGAATTTGAATATTGCTTTCCAAGCAAATGTGTGTGTCATACATAGGCAACAAATTGTGCTGTTTATTTTCTCTTTCACTTTGAGGGTCTTTTCTAAAACTGTTCAAACATTTTATAGCATAAACTGCAATAAATTTTCTATAGCAAAGAGTCAGCAACAAAATACAGGCTACAGAAAAGTATAGAACAAAATAACAAAATGCAAGGAAGCAAAAAGCCTGTGTATTTTTGAAAGTTCTTGGCTCTTCACTATGTCTTGTATACTTTAATACACCTTGTACTCTACAGAATTTCTTTTACAAGTATTTTAAATACTTGTGAGGTAGTGATGAAAAGAGCATTTCTATTTAAGTAATACTGTGAAAGTTATAAGAAATAGTTAACTGCTCTTTAATTAACAGTTTAATTAAAGAACAGTGAAAGAAATGGATATCATGACAAATCCACAATAGTCTTACCATGTGAGTGTTGGTTGTCATTAGCTGAGGATAGGAAGAGAAGCAAGTAGCAAAAAGAAAAAAAAAAAAGCACACAAATAAAATAGACCAACATATCAATGGGTAAAATAAATAAAATGCAAAAAGGTTCCTAAAACTTGAATTCGTGTGACAGCAAAGCATATACAGAGAGATTATTTTAAATTGCCATTATGTAAAAATCAATTAAAATATTTAAAAGCTTGGTATACCTCAGTTCTTTTCTGATCATTCATAACTGCTCTACCAAGAGACTTTTGATACATTAATCAGATATTCATCAGATGTGTGTTAAGCACAGAACAAAAAGACGACTTCGTAAATTCTGAAGAAATTCTTCAACTTTGTAAGTTTTTTCCTAAGCTGCATCGAGTCCCATGCCTCCATTTACTGATATACAGAATGCTCATTAAATAATACAGATTTGGCTAAACAGGTAACCATAATTCATAAAACACCCATCATCTGTTTGGGAAATCTTAAAGAGAATGATTAAGACTGTGCATGATGACAGAACACACTTGATGTTAAAAAATTACCTGCTACTGACTGACCAAATCCAACACTAACCTGTCCATTGCTGGTCACAATTGTGTTGTCAAACAAGAAATAGGCACCAAAGAAAAATACCACAGCATCAAACACTCCTAGGAATGTCCAATAAATAAATGCACGCCAGCGCAACAAAGCATTCTTGGCAACATCTCTGTGTAAAACAAGATATATGCATTTACATTAGAATGTTATTAAAAGCTCACAGAAATGATAGCAAAATTGTTTTTCTTTCAAAAACCTGTGAGAGATCTCATGAAAACCATCACCTCTCTATATGACAACTGCCTGTCACTCCATACCCAAATCCTTCCTGAATATTTCCTCTTTATTTGCTTAACTCATCTTTTACCGAACCCTTTAAGATGCTGCTCGTAGTTTGCTTATTCCATCCGCAACCCTCCTGAGCTACACCCATTTACTTTTCTTTTCTTTCTTTGTTTTTTTTTGTATCATGGTATCATTTTTTTACAGAATCTGCTGTGCATATGACAATCCAGCCTGGATTGCTGGATTGCACTAGAGGTCTCTGGATTGCAGAACTGCACTAGAGGTCTCTGGAGACTTTGCTGTGTTTCCCATTGGGAACTTCTACACAGAATGTTGCAACAAAACAATATACTAGTTTTATGTGGAACGTGCAAAAGAATGATTTTGCAATTAGGGTGAACCTTCAGGTCAAATTGCATTTCTTAGATGTTTTCTCATGAAGATTACATGAATTGGGCAAAACTGTTCACTGCTGTTTATTTTGTTACTGCAGAAAAACTTAAATAGTTCAAATGAGTTCTTGCACACAGAAAGACTATATGTCAACTTGCCATTTACCATAAGACACATCAGAGCATACTTCTGATATATAAACAAATCGGTTACATGAAAACCCAGAATTACAGGCATCTCACAGAGTAGCTAGCAATACTATTAACCAACCCATTCACTACATATGTTTAAAAACCGTATCTGATAACTAGATTAATTCATTTGCCACTGCACATTAACCCAGTAGATTAGAAATATATGGTCCAAAACCATATATGGCTAACAGTAGCCTTATCAGGCCCAAACAACTGTGCTATGCCCAAAACAGCTTAGCATAGACTCTGTTAGATATCAAAAAACTAAAAAATTTGGTTTTTGACCAAATAACCTGTTAATTAAAAAAAAAAAATCTTCTGAATGACCATTTCTAAACAGAACATTTAAAATATAAAGGAGAAAAGAAAAATGGAGGGTTTTTGGTTTCATCAGTAGTATCGTGTGTTTCTCTTCTATTTCATGGCTAAACAGTGTCTACACACTGATCACCTTTTGGCCATGTATTACCTTCCTCCAGAAATGCTTGCACTTTGATTATCTATTGTTACCACTCTCTAAAATGTACTGGTTTTACAGCCACGAGAATAAAAAACTGGCAGTGTTTCTGGAAGATTTAGATAATTACATGCAGTTTATTGGCAGGGAGTGCATTTCAAGTGGCTAAGAATCTAAAACAGTCACAGTTTTAATGCCCAGAAGGGAGTAAACAATATGCAGAGGACTGTCTTGGACACAACACAGAATCTAACCTATGATATAACACACTAGCACTCAGTCTTCTTTCAGAATAATATAAAAATGTATATGCTATGACTCCTCTTTATTATAAAAAAATCTACTCCTCATGGTTGGAGGAAACCAAAATAAATCATAATTTGATTTGCAAAACAATAATTTCTATTATACTCTCACTAATGTAACAAATGAATGGAGTGACTTGCAGTATGTAAATATTCATGTTAAAATGCATGCATGTTGCAACAGTTTACATGCCATGTGTGTGTTTTTCAACACTTTCACTGCAGTGTGTGTGATGTTCAGTTGTGCCTCACGGTACAGAAATCCCGAAGATTTTGGTTATAACATCAAAAGATTCCACAACTGAACAGTCAAACTTCAAGGACTGATGTATTAAGTTTACCTGTACAGGGAAGGCTCTCTCTTGAGTGTGTCTGCACTGACATGTTGTTCCATTAGACTGTACAAGAGGATAGGAAGGGAAGTGAAGCTGATATTGTACAGTGTTAGATACGCAGTATCATACAAAGGCTGTCGGTGGAAAAGAACACAATGAGTTATAATTGTAAAACAATCCACAGCACTGCACTTGATTTGAAATGCATGAGTCAACTTCTTCAGAAAACGTTAGTAAACCCCTTAACAAAGGAGGCAAATGCCCCATAACAGCTGCTTACTGATTTAAGATCTAACTGTGCCTTTGAACTCCATTCATCTGGAGGAAAAAAGATCAACTAAAAGAGGGGGGAAGTATTCCAGAGATTCTTCAGCTGCGGGTGACTGAAATGAGCTGCACAGAGAAATAGCCCAATATTACCATTGTTTCTTCACCTCTCTGAACTATTTTTCCATGTATGGATTACCACTGTAACTAGAACTTGAACTTATTACATTAAACCCTTATAAGGGCTCTTTAATTATGCAAAAGGTGGTCTTTTATGCTTAAAAATTGCTGTCATGTACCCCTTTTTGACTCAGAATTGTACTTTGTACTCAAGAACAGGAAATCTTACAACCTAATTTTCATCAATAAATGCTTTAATAGCAAACACTTGCAATGTCTTTGTTTTCTTGTCTTTTTTTTTTTTTTTTTACTTTGAAAATACAATGTTTTTATGATTATTCCTCACACTAATTTCTGTAATTTCAACTGCCACTAAAAATCATACGAAGCAGAAATAACACTCCTCTTCCTACAGTGTGCAAACTAACCTAGAAATTTTATCACCCAGACAGGCGCAGTTTCAAAGGCTCCCTTTGTTTAAAAAATGACAAAGAGAAAATTCGGCAGTGAGGAAAAAAAAATAACTGACCTGTTGTGAAAACCCACAGAAGAACTGATATAAAAACTGAGGAAAAATGAAGCAGACATTCTGAAAAATAAAATGACATGGTTAGAAGTGAAATACAAGCACTAATACATACGCTGTTCAGCGTTAAAGCTACTCATATTACACTTTTATGACATTAGTGATAAATGCAGTAAACACTGCAGGAACAATAGAAAGAACTGCATACGTTATATATCAATGCCATCTCACCAGCACTGCTGCTAAGAAAAAGACTTAAAACATTTTGACAGAAAATTTATAGGATTACAGTTTCAAAATTCAAGGGCAACGAATTTGTGATCCAGGAGCACAGCTCAGTTTAGAGAAGGGAAAACAAGATGCAGTCCACAGGAGAACACAAATTGTGATAAGGAAGGATATTTATCTTCTGCTTAGCAGTTTCCAGCAAGATAGCTTTTAAGATGTTTCTACCTGTGACCCTAAGCTTCATCTTTCCCTAGGTATACATATAGTCAAGCAATAAGATCTTGAATAATCCTCTGATAGTTAATTCCTATCATGTTCCATTGCTTACCGAAAGAACTTAGACTGGATTCCAACATTGAGACCTAATAAAACTGTCTAAAAAGAGAATGCAAATCATAAATTTCCTCCACTCACACTACTCCAATGAATTTAGAAACCAATATAAATTTAGTTCTACTAAGTTCTCAGGTACTACTTGCAACTTGATTTAAAAGGGCACTGTAGAGAAAATCCAGTTAATGAAGTTAGAAAGTTAATGAAAACATATAGAAAGAGTCTGTTGGAATTTGTAAGAGTGAAAGGCAAACCTCACACTGAATCATACTGCAGATTACAGAATACACTTATACAAGATATTCCCCTTAATACCTGGTTAACAACAACAATCCTATTTCAAATTTGTAGTTGGCAGTCAGGAAAATCTCTTTGTGGAATTATTGCTTTGTTTTGTACCAACTATACGTACATAGTTAGATATTGCCAATGGAATTTTTGAAATTGAGATAACTACAATAAGCATTTCCCTACCTTATAAAAGAAGTATTGCACAAGTTCAGATATCCTAACATAATAGAAATGCCCGTGAACAAGCAACATTTTTTTCAAATGTTTAAACTTAGGAATTGCATAGTCACTGTTTCTTGCTGCTTGACGACCTTCTTTGCCAATGATTCCTTTAAAAAAAAAAAAAAAGAGATGGAGCTGTTTAATAATGGAAGAGCTACTTGAAAGATGCAATTATTTGAAATAACTGAAAAATAATGCTATAACATTGGTATTCTATGAGATCACTACTGTACCTCATAAAATCCCCCTAAAATTGCCTATAAAAACCAGAATCTGATTGGGATCACCTATTTTTAAGAAGTAAAGGTTTTTTTCTGAAAAGCACACTTACCTATACCAACATGTGCTTCTAGAATCATACTGACATCATTGGCTCCATCACCAATTGCTAATGTGATAGGATGCTCCTTTGATAGCTTAATCAATTTTACAATCTGGAAAAAAATGAGTGGTAAAAACTCTTGTCTGCAATGGGCTGGTAATTTTGCATGTGTGTACGATTAAATAAAAATGACCAAAACAGCTATGTAAGAAGCTCTCTAAAGGACACAAAAGCACTATTATCTGATCCAACAACTAGGCATTAAGATCACAGGAGGGTCTTTGTATTAAAATCTTTTTCTACAAACATGAAAAAAAATTATTTGATAAAAATTAGTATACAACAGTCTGCAAGTACTTAGTTATCTAACATGTTATTCTATCTGAATTCTTCTTTTGTGGCTCCCCACTTATATTAAATTAGAAAATTAGTATCACTCCACAGTCATAAATAACCCGGGTTCTTGCAGCATCAACAGTTAGTAGACAACTGAAGGCCTGTTACATTAGGAGAAGGGAATTAGTTCAATTCATTAAATATGACGTGTACCAACAATAAAGTTTGCACGGTATGTACATAAATCAAATGCAGTTGGGTGCTATTTTAGCATACCATTATCTAAATTGCTTGCCAGTAGAAATTTCCCCTGCTCATTTTTTATTTTTTTTACTGCTTTTTCCATTTTAGTAGATACTAACGTAAATGTTAACATTTCAAGTTATTATAAACAGTACAGAGTTTTAACTTTCAATATTTACATACGTATGTTACACCCGAAAAGAAATACGAACCTGTGCTTTTTGCAGAGGTGCCATTCGACAGCATAACACTGCACTGCAGTTCCTGCAAATTTCAAGAAAGAGCTCTCTGTAGTTACCAGAGCTCCCATCTTGTCTCGGTTTCATTATTAATGACAAAGCTGCTCCATCAATAATTAAACCATAATCTTGCATATCAGTAGAAAGTCTGTTCAGGGATAAAATATAAACTAAGAGTCACTGTAAAATTCTCAGACGTATTTTAATTTTGGCAACAGTTATTTTGTGAAAATTAACTAATGAAAAAATAATGAGTGGAGAATAGTCCATAATTAATACATTTTAAATGAAATTCCTTATATAACACTGCTATTTATGACATTTTAGAATTTGGGCTTATGTTGAACATATCCAGTGCTGCACCCGTTTGATTACAGCAATCTGAAGTCTCAGTGACTTCAACAGTGAATATCAGTTGGTCTGAAAGGGCTTTACAGACTGCTGTAAGGTAAACTGAATTGCAGAAAGAACATCAGTATTCCATAAGACAGGGAAGAAAGTAAAAATGAAAAGCTTCAGGTGCTCTGAAATCTATTTTGATGAGGAAAATAGCATTGTTTTTCAAAGGTCTACGTTTAAAGATTTTAAACCACATTTATGCCATGCTTTGAAGGCAACACTGAAGAGCTGACCTGAAGAGTTAAGACCACTGTTTTCATTTACAGGAGAATGCTTTGCATTTAGTACAGTGACTAAGCCTGATACAAGCAGACCTGGGTAAACTTTAAGATAGCTAATTCGGGCATTGCCAGAAGTGTAGCCATGGTTGCATGCAGCACAGTTCAGCACTGAAACATACGCTGAACAACAGGGGGAGATGCTGTACACCGAGTGCTGCACTACAGGCTTCTGCAGCATCCTAATTATTTCACAATTCCCTATCACTTGCCAAAGTTACATAGTAGCCTCAGGCTCAAGCCCACCAGTGAATGTTGTATAAACACACACTCCCTTTTGTTTGAGCTCTAGTTTCAGTGCTGCAAGGTAATACTACTCTGTGTGGGTTTTCAACAAATGATTTCACCATGACCAATAAAAAACACTGCATCTATTAACAGCCTTTAACATATTTTAAGCAACTCCATCTTTCCTACTAAAACATAAGCTATTTTTGACAAATAATGAAAAGTATTGCAAACTATATTTTAAAATAGGTTACAGATATTTTCCAGCACTTTCTTACCACTGGAACAAATAGGGCAACACCATTAGTATAACACAATATCTAATAAAAATATATCACTTTGAAGTCTAGACAATGTACCGATTGTCAAAAAAAATTACAGTGAAAGGTCTTCAACTTGAATTTGAACACCTAGGTAAAATCTTGCTATTAATATCTTTGCACATTCTCCACCTCTGGAGCCAAACATAGGAGGTTCTGATGAGCTTTTATTGCAAATTGGTACTCCACAAGAAGTTCAACGTATTTAAAAGTAATCTGTAAAACTTGCAGAATGTAAGCTGAAAGTGGAATGGATGATACGGAGATAATCAGTAAGTTATTCTTAAATGTGAAATGTAAGAGACATATTTAACCGAATACACAAATATTCTGGCCCTGAATTTCAGGCTAAGAGTTTAAGAACCTCTCTGTTAAAGTATCACAAACACATTACTAGCTTGTTGCTCCTTTGCTACTAATTTATTATTATTCAAATGCATATAAACTGAACTTGCCTAAGTGGTTCCATATTGAAAACAAAGCAAATACATACAATCTCATCTCAAAGGCAAATAACAACTTTTCATGATGATATGGATGCTTTTGAGTCTAATTTCTATGTTTTTACACGATATGAAAAGAGGTTTCATAAAAGACTCATTAATGTGTATCTCCCAGTAAGCTTCAAGTAGTCTAACTTATTCCATATCATACCAATGTTTTTGCTTTTTAATGCTGTTTTCTATCTTCTTTCATGCTATGTTTCAAGAAAATCATTTCTATGTGCAATTCCTCTCCTTCCTTGAGGAGAAACTTGATATTTTCTGTACAATTTACCTTTCTACTTAGGGCACTTTAGGCATTTGTATGCACAAAGAAGACTTGGTACTGTGCTGTTGCCTGTCCCCTGTCTGTAAATACAGCAGAATCTTCTCCCAGAATTGTGCAGTAGGGTCAAAACAGCATAGCTCTCTGAGGACTTGGATTTAGCAAGAAAGTCGCATCACACAGTATCTCTGATTACAGAAATAAATCATGCCTGCTTCCTTTTTAAAAGCTAGAAACAGTATGTTACCAGCAGTTTTACCAATAATCAGTATTTTTGCAGTATTTTCAACAGTAAAGCAGCACCAGTAGTGAGATAGAGAACCAACTATGACCATAAAAAATTAAATCTATATAGAGTAAACTTAATTGCTGCACAGTAATTCACACTAACAGAAACTGAAACGGTACATTGGTAGTCATAAGTTTTTGGATCAATTTAATTATTTACAAAATGCACAGAAATGTATTCTTGGTTTGAAAATTCAACTTTTGTCTTACCCTGACAAGCTATCTCTGGTTAAGCTGCCACTGTGTCTTAGGACAGTTTTGCTTAGGTCAAAAAGCACATCATGTAAACTCTGCTCCTCAATTTTCTTTGTGGTTAGCTCAAGTATTTGTGTATTTCTCCGGAACAGTTTGCAAGCATAGCAAGTAGCTGCAGCAGTCTCCATTTTGTCTCCTGTTAGAACCCAAACTTTAATTCCAGCTTTCTGGAGTGCTTCAATTGTGTCAGCAGCTTTTTCTTGTAGCCTGTTGAAGTCAATGGACAACAGATACTCATGGATTACTCAGAAACAGGAAATGGAAAGCTTTCCATTAAAAATAATAGAAGTATTCAATAAAAGACATCAGATGCAAGAATTTTCCCCAAGGTGTGAATCTAAAATGCTTAGGGGAGCAGAACATTATCAGTGATTTATTTTGACATTTTCTAAATGTTCAAAGTTTCATCTTTTGTTTATGTAGCCAAAAGGACACAATGCTTAATTCTCCAGACAAGTACTTCACTTAAAACACTTCTAGTGCTTTCAGCTAATGACATCAAATAATGAAGTATACTGAATTATTAAAGCCACCTCCCATTTTTAATAGACATTTCTTTTAATTTAAGACATAATGAAGATTCTTCCTTTATTTCCTCAATTCCCATGTCACAGTTATTTCCTCCAGAGCTTTTCCCTACAGTTTGCTCAATAAAGTATTACACAAACTGCGCGTAAATTGCTTGAACACACTGATCTTTGTATGCTTACCTATTCTTACTAAATTGCTAAAGTTACCATGTCTAATTTTAATAAGATAAGGGTACAAACTTCATTCAAACAGAGAGGTGTATCTCTAATACAAAAAAAGAATTACAAGAGAGCATTCCACAATTTCCACTAGCAGACATTTTCTTATTTATGAACACTGGACTAAGGAAACATCTCCAAACACAGTCTAAGAAAAGTACTAACCGATCTTCAACGGCTGTAGCACCAAGTAAAATAAAATCTCTTTCTATCTTCTCATACACTTCTGCCAATTTCTTTTCTCGGTCCTGGAGGGCCAACTTCGCATTCTGCAGCATCTTCTGTGCATTGCTATACTCTTCTGCTGTGAGCTTTTTATATGCAACACACAGCGTTCGCAGTCCCTCCTAAAGAATGTAATCGAAAGAAACAATGTGCATTTCATAAATCTATTCCTAGATCTCCTGCTGCTGTTTACGCTGTAATATTTGAAAAATCTGAATGATTTTACGACTAACAAGAGTTCAACCACTTACTTTTATAGTAAAGTGAGTATTGGATAATATAGACTAGAAAACAAGGGTCAGCTTGATTCTGTGCTGCCCTGGAAGCTGTTACAACCTGAGCAATGAACTTCTGTCCTCAAGACAAGAAATAGTTCAGCCACCCAACTGTATGTATGGGATTACCAGGGAAACAATGGTCACGCTGAAGCTTTCCTTTCCTATCTTTATAATGGGCAGGATGAGTCAGAAGAAATAATGATATAAATAGTAACTGTGCAAAATCTGATTTTGATGCTGTGTTACAGCAGAAATAGGGACAAGGACAGGAACAACACATCACAGTAAGGGCTGAAAGTAAAAATCCAACTGTGCCATTTCAGTCATGTGAAAAATAGAATTCAGTTGTAGGTGTTTCAGACGAGATCAAACTTCTGGATAGGGTGATATGTAAAAAAAGAAGTATACAGACTGTGTAAGGGAAAAAAAGCTGCAATAACAAAAAAGGAGGTTTTGCAATCTCAAATGTATTACTTCTCCTAACACCATTTAACTGGTGCTTTGTCTTAATAAATATTAATCTTGTAGGTCTTTATACGGTTACTTATTACAAATGCAAGAAGGAAAAGAATTCAAGAAGTTTCATGACTTGCTACTAATGAGGGCAGATACCACTTCTCTGCCTATCTCTTCTTTCAGAAGCTCCCGAAAGCTCAGCTTTCAGAAGCTGTATGTATCAGTGCTATATCCAATTATCTAGAATGAAGAGACAGATGGATTTCTCTGCTGATAGACACTGGATTGCTATGACACGTGAACACTTCTTTCATGAGGCCTCCTTCACTTCTAGTTATAAGACAATGCTTTTGTATAGCAAAGGTTAGTAAAACACTTCAGCCAATAGTTCTGAAGTTTCTCTTCATAACAAAAACAAGTAATGCTGTATGCATTTTTTTCTTATATCTGCAGTAGTACTTTGTTTTCAGTTTGCATACTGGATACCAGTAAATTTTACCCTATTTGTAAGACTACCAGTAATATTTCAATGCAGTGAGTTTTGTGCATTTTTGGACATAAACCAAAATTCAACATTCACAACTCCAAGTAGAATCATGGAATCAATAAGGTTGGCAAAGACCTCTAAAACCTCGAAAATGGCCAACCACCAAGCCATCCCCACCAAGCCCACTAACCATGTCCCTAACCACATCCACATGGTTCTTGTATTACTTTTCCAGTAAAACCAAGTTCTGAATTTCTTCTAAAGATGGTCAAACAGCTCATAATTCATTTTAAACAAGCAAAAACATCAGTAGAAGGATGACCACTACACTGTTTCCCCATAAGAACTATACTTATTGCCAAATTGTGCTCTAGTGGCTTTTCTCTTTTCAGAGCTCATAAAGGAAAGGCAGGAAATCAAAATTACTAAGGCTAAAGTCTTAAAGCACAAATGAGGTTTTCAGTGAAGTTTCATTTTGCTTCCTTCAAAAGTTAATTCAAACTTCTGCAGTTGTTAAAATTGCATTCTAAAATGTTAATTGATGGCCCCTGGTATAACACGCTTAACGCATTTCTATCACACCAGAACTGCTATTTGGAAGATGAGATGGAGGAAAACCTCAAATAAAGGAGTAACATTGCTGTATATACTGCCTGTGTTTACTTTGGTATAGAGTAATCTCTATACCTGGGAAGACAAATCTCTCAGATTTCAATCAGGAGAACTAAAGTTTTTGACACTGATAGCACGTGAACAGTTCAATAAAAGTGTAATGCCCACTGGAATCTTACCACTGCATTGCGTTCAACTCTGGATCGTATTTGGTCAATTTTGCCTTCTTTAACTCTAGGAAATATGGAAGAATCTGCTCCCTTGCAAAACAGAAATATATCACCTGAAAGAAACAGCATGGGTAATTCAAATTAGCGAGAAATACCTTTATCCTTTATAAACTAATAAGCCTTGCAAAAGTATTTCTTCCAATAGTTTTAATAACATTTGCATGCATGCTGATACCCCTTCCCTTTTTTTTATAAAGACAAGGACACAGACCATGAATGATCAACACTCTGATAAACTTGAAATAAATTTAAGTGAGATAAATACGTCTAACAGGAAACAGAACATGGTAGTCCTACCTGTTGAAGATTTGACAATTACACTCATGCGTCGTCTTACAGAATCGAAACTCAAAACCTCCAATAATTCAAACCTGAAAAGAAAAAGTATTTTTTAAACAACTCTGCTTTTTCATAAAACCTAAGCTGGTTATTTCAGCTTTGAGCATATGGAATAAAATTGCTGCTAACATGGAAAGTTATATTAAGTAGTATGAAATATGGAACCACTACAGAATGAAATAATATAAATAATAATTGTGAGGGGGAGACTCAGCTCTTAATTACTTGAAACAGAATCTGTCTGCATAAGGTTTTGTGATCTCCTCTGGTATCCAGTTCCTGGTAACAGTCAGTGTAATTTATTTTAGCAAAAAACTAGAAACCTTGTAGTAGTACACTATTCTGCTAAAAGAGTAGGTAAGCCACCAGTAATGGTGTGTACATACGCACATCGTTACAACTTGTCTTTTAAAAACACTATACTAATTCTGACTGTTACTAAATGTGCCAACCTAATTGCACAATTTTTCCACAAGTGTAGACTGACAATTTAATCAAATGAAAAAACACACTTCTTTTTACCAGTATTACTGATCATTGCTTTTATGATTTATCTTCTTTTTTACTAGGAGTAAAAATGAACACAAGCTCCTGTTGTGTTGTCTTTCTATCATTCATTAGTCTGTACACATTAATAACTTACTGTCTTTTCCAGCACAAATATATATTTTATCATTATTTCCAGTCTCTTCAGGATTCATACAGAATAATAAAATCCTTCAGGTTGGAAACAACCACTAAGATCATCTAATCCAACCACATCCTCACCATGCCCACTGACCACATTCCTCAGTGCCATATCCACACAGTTCTTTAACACCTCCAGGGACAGTGATTCCACCACCTCCCTGGGCAGCCTGTGCCAATGTCTCATCACTCAGATTTCTGAGAAAATTTTTTTCTTAAGATCCAACCTGAACTTTCTCTGGTGCAACTTGAGGCCATTCATTCCTCTTGTCCTATCACTGTTACCTGGGAAAAGAAGCTGACTCCCACCTCACCACAACTTCCTTTCAGGTGGTTGTAGAGTGTGATGATAAGGTGGTCCCTGATACTCCTTTTCTCCAGACTGAACAATGTCAGTTCTATGTCTGACAAGCCAGGATGTCATTGGCCTCCTTGGCCTCCTGGGTACACTGCTAGCTCACGTTCAGCCAATTGTCAACTAACACACACACACACACACACACACACACATATATATATATAAATTTTTGCTTATAAAAGAGATCTGGTGGTTAATTAGTTCATTCAGTTACAAGTCCTTACAATATCCTGGAATTCAAACCTGTGCAGGACTACAATGGTTATTTCAATAAAAGAGCAATTTCTAACAAAAAGCTGGATCAGGCTTCTGCCTATGAACTGTGATACATTTTGGACAAGTTAAGAAATCATTACCATACAACAAAGGAAAAATATGTATAGTTGCTAAGATTATTAGTAGCTATTAGATTATGAACCACCATGTCATGCTTTCGTTGTTATTTTCATTTTTCTTATTGCATATACTGTCAAATTAATGGACTATGCAAAAATATAAAACCATCTGGTGTATCTGTAACTACAAATATTAGTAGAACACTTCTTTTCTTACTAAAATGCACAGGTTGTGGCTTTCCTGAATATAAAATTGGTATATAGGTAGAGAATGAATTATTAAACATATCAATAAAAATTCCTTTCCTCAGTCACATTCTGTTATATTTTAAGCACTCACTTCTCTCTGTTATTTTCCCGATTTAAGATCTCCATGTAATTGTCCTTCAGGCATAGATAGGTGTAACCGAGCCTGTAAAATTGAAACACACACTAAGAGAAGCCATACAAGAAACACACAATTATCCAGTTTACATGTCGGAAAGATTTAAACTGATATTCCGAGAAAAACACAACTGTTTTTAGTTTATGAATATGAATAGTCATGACTGCATACTAAGAAAATCATCATCAGTAAGTGATTTGATGTTTGTTATTAGGATTTTTGTGCTGAAAACAACTTTCAACTACAGTGATTAATTCTCCAGATTGAAAAATTACAGTATTTAGTTACATACATACCTCTGTATTCCTTCAACTAAAGCAACTTCATCAGGTGATGAAGATATATATATGCGAGATCTTCTTGAGAGCTGGCTCTTCTTCAACCCATCTACATTGTCATCATCTTTTACCTGAACAGTGTGGCAAAGACAAAGAGCTCGGAAAAATAGCTCCTCTCTCTCCTAATAAATAAAAGAAATTATTGTCATTATGTGTCATCACTTTCAAGTATTCAATTATTATTTCTTTTTTTTAGGAGGTTAGCAACGTCACTGATTACTATTAACACATGCAGGCATTATTATATGCTACCTGCCCTTTAAAGGTACCCAAGCCTGTACCTGTGGTGGCCACACAGCTGGTTAATAGCTGCTAGTAATAACATTGTAATGGCAGTCGTAAATTGCAGACATGTAAAAGAACTCCATTGTGCATCTGTATAAAAGGTGTGCACATTTTGGAACCAACAATTTCTATAAAGTTTCAGGTGGTTTGGCAATAGCAGCTTATCTATTTCTTATTTCTGGTTCGAGAGTCACACCAGAAAGAGATTTCTATGTATTTAATGGATAACTGGCTGTGTTCTAACTGTATCTTTGTAACTGAACCTTATCTGGATCTGTGTCATTGTGATTCCAAGACAAAAACACAACTACTCTGGGAACATGTTCAGATAAGTGAAAATCACAAGAGTGCTGATTTACAATTACATACAGACCTTATCTTGCCACAGTATAGGGTATGGACAAAGTATGATCTGAGATTGTATCAATATATATTTTAAAATATAGTGTCCAGTTATCCTACCCATTTACACAATGCTAAGCTACTGACATGAAGTTGCCTTAACTTTCAAGTAACCTCTTTTGTTTTTCACAGAAAAAAGCCAAAGCACATACATGCCATGTGTAATATGCTTCAGATGTGGCTACATTATGTCACATTTAGAAGTAACTTACTTTTAATTATAAGCCATTCTATGGCCATCTTCGCTCAATGATGACTGAGTGTATGCACTGAACACTCACTTTTCCCCTACAAGAGTTTCCTGCCTCAATTTCCTTATTGTAGACAATGTAAAATGCAAACCAACTATAACATATTTTTAGCCCTTAACCAGAGAAAGTTCTGTATTTTGGGGTTTAACTCAGTCTTACAGCTTTATTAAGTTGGGAAACTTCTGATTAAGCATCTAAATCTTAATTAAACAAGGAAAGGAAAATGTTTATGCTGTCATGCATTTCCTGCAGATATCTACTTTGATTACAAAAATTCAAGGATCTTATATTTCTACAATTCCCTTCATCAGCACAATTCAATTTTCACGTTTCACTGTGAAAAACACAGACCTAGAAAGAGTCACCATACCTTTCCACTTCCTCCTGGAGAAGAATCTATCATATCAATGCCTGTGCAATCATGGAGAATTTGGCCATTGCAGATAACATGTGGTATATAAACATGTCCTTCAATACAACATTCTACAAATTCCATGTTGTTCTCAGTTAAGGTTCCTGTTTTATCTGTGAAGACATACTCAATCTGCAAATGAACACAAATTAAAAATAGCAGGAATATGAACAGAGATCTTCCAAGTTCTCTTCACATAAGCGAAATTGTTACTGGGCTACACCTTCCTTAATCTGAGCTCTTTCCGAAAAGGAAGACAAAGTTCTTTTTTGGATACATGTTCTACTAACAGATTTTATCATACGAGAGTACCAGCAAAGCTATCTTCTGCCTGATAACACTTATAAACAATATTTAACCTACTTTTACTCTTCTCTTAAGCTCCTTTTTGGTTCTTAATGTCACACTTGCTGCAAAACAGATATTTATGGAAACAAAATTCACGGATTCCATTGGCAGGAATGATTATTTAATGTACCTGGATTCAAATCAGTTACTTTCAGCACAGTACTTGAGCCAGTGTCAGAATTGCCCAATGCAACAACTTTTGTGTAAATGAAGAGTCTAGACTATCACATACACTTACATGCAAGAGCACTGTTACTGCCCTGAAAACATTCTTTCTATCTCAAAATTGAATTTTTAATTCATTTTATTCTACAATGAGACATGGCATTAAAGGCTAACAAAAGCAAAAACAAAACTGAAAAGTGAATTTCAGTATTTAGGTAGATATATCTTCCTAAGCTCAATTTTGGATTTAAACAGTGAAAGTAAGGGAATTATTTAGAGTTCAACAGATTGTTTAACGACTTTAATATTTAGTAAATACTTCAAACAAAACAACTACATTTTCTTTCAGTAGTCAGAAGTTAATATTTGAACTTTCTCCCTACATTAACTTTCCTAATATTCACTGATTTGGAAAAGCAATTTTCCAGATTTTCCAAGGCTTTCTTATCTGCAAAGACAACACTCTAATGACATGTGTTTCAAGGTGGACAGGATTCAGTTCTCTCTCATATGAAGCACTATATAAAGATTTCATATTATATCTATACTGGATACAAAATGCTATAAAGCAAAGCACTTTTATTCACTCAGTGTGCAACATCATTTCCAGAAAAAAAGTAGTAAAATATGTATTTCACTGACAAAATTTACCACAAGTATCAATAATGATTAACATTCAATACGTTCATTAGAAGTAAGAGAAATAACACCTTTCAAGAATGTAGAAGAAGAAACAAGTTCATTGGATTTATAATGATATACCAAGTAATGATGAGTCTCATTCTTGTGATTGTATTTAAATGTAGTAGTACTCAATTATTTTACACATCAATCAATGGTTATATATGAACAGGACGTCTGGAGGTCACCTGGTCACCAAGCCTCCCTACTCAAGCAGGGCCACCAAGTGGAGGAACTGGACCCAGTACTCCAAGTGTGGCCTTAGAGAGCTAAACAAAGTGAAAGGATCACCTTCTTTCCCCAGCTGGAACCATTCTCCACAGGGTAGATCAGGGGGCTTTTGGTTGCCTTTGCCACAAGGGCTCACTGCAGTTTCATGTTCAGTTTAGGGTCCACCAGAATACTAAGATTCTTTTCTGCAAAGCTGCTTTCCAGCACAGTGGTCCCCTGAACACTGTGTCCCATCATCTTTACTGAAGATGATGTGAAGTGAGCCCAGTACTGGTCACTGAGCTACATCCACGAGATACTGGCCTCCAGCAAAAATTCACACCACGGATCACCACGCTCTGGGCCTTGCTGTTCAGCCAGTTCTTAATCCATAACACTGCCTGCTCATTCAGCACAGACATCAATACCTTGTCTGCAAAGACTATATAAGAGATGATACAAACAGTGGTTGCCCATAGTAATAAAATACTTGTACCATCTTTTGTCCAAATAGATATAAATACTCCTTAAAACCTCAATAACTAGTTCAGCAGTACAAAAAATAAAGCAATATACAATCTTATTTTACTTGACAACCTATGAAAATTATTTAATTAATAAAGTTCCTAAATAGTTTATACAAAATGTGTGCACATATCTGTGTCAATATGATGATTTTGTTAATGCAAAATAATAAAGATGGAATTTCTTTCAAAAAAGCAGAAGGTCAGACAATCATTTTATTGGACAACACTTTTGTCTGGATATTTGCTATCAATCTACCAGACGAAAAGGGTATTTCTTTTATCTGCCTTTCACCGTAAGGAATTTAGATGCTTATGTAAATCTCCCTCTATAGTTATAAGAGAGAAATTACCTTCATGAAGTGCTTATTATTTACTAACATATATCTATAATTTTTTATATATATATTTATATACATATATAAAAAATTTACTAACATCTATATCTATAATACAGATATCTTTTTGTGACTACACTGCAGGTACCTATGCCAGTAAGAGGAGTGTGAATGCCTGAGCATCTGTTCAGTGAAAGTGGAAAATTCCAGCTTAGATTACACACTTACTGTCTAGATAATTTCACTTTTGTGAGACGATTCAGACTGAAGTGCAAATGGTTCAGAGGATACATAAATTTGCTACTGCTTAAATGTACAACAATAATATTTGAAAAAAAAAATCAAATAAGGGACTATTTGTGTAGGAAGCGATAATACAGAACTAATTTCCTAGGTTAGCCACAATACAGTAAAAAGTTATGAAATTCTAAAATGTATTTAAACAATGAAATAAGGAAATACCATTGTAATGAGCAATGTAGTACTTCTAACTCATGGAAATGAATGAGATTGCTTTAAGTGAAGTGTATTCAGGAATTACTCATTAAGCTAAATGTAAGTGTTGTTTATGTTTCAATACTTAGCATGGTAGCTCACAAAGGTATTTTCAGAAACTCTGTGATCACTTGCACTGACTTAGCTGAGAAATCAGAATTTTTTATTGTGAAAATCTGAAGAAATCAAATACAATTTCTAAATTAATCAGCACTAAGGAAAATGCAGTTTAAAGCTGCAAAAAATATAGTGAAAATTAAATTTTAAATAAAAATTACTATACATGAATAAAATGTATTTTTATGGTGGAAATAGTTGAAAATTTTTTCATTCAGTGAAATTTACCTGTCCCAACTCTTCATTGAGGTCAGAAGTATTCACCAGTGGTCCTTCTCCTGTGTCTTCATCAAACATTTCCTCATCCCACGTGAGGAAATAAGAACCAAGAAATTTCTGCATTTCCACAGTGACATACATGGATACAGGAATAATGTAGTTGAAGAGAACCATGAATGCAAGGAAGTCTGTAAACGCTTGAAGAAACTGCCAAAGAAGCAAGATAAAAATAATAATTCTTCATGTACCATCAAATACTGAAAGTCAGCTACTTGCATTTGCAAGTCTGTTTTTAGCTTTCAACACTAAGCAACTCCATTCACACAGAATCATAGAATCACTCAGGTTGGAAAAGACCTTAAAGATCATTGAGACCAACCACAACCTAACCCTACTACCCTAACTCTAACAACCCTCTGCTAAATCATGTCCCTGAGCACCACATCTCATATTTTGGTAAACAATGTATACTTTCATGATTTACATCATAGTAATTTTTGCATGAAGTTTTTTTTTTTTAAGTTTTAACTTGTATTTTTCTTTAAAGATATATAGATGGAGAATACATTTACACATTATTGCTGCAAAATTCTAGATCAACTAATGACAGTGACTGCATATGAATAGAAACAACATCATGTGAACAAGGGAAACAGTAAAAACGTATATTCCCAAATTAGCAGAAGAATAACATAAAATCACACAAGTCATCTGAGAATTAGCAGATTTCATAGCGTTCAGGCAGCAGCAGCATCATTTAGTGTGAAGAGGAATTTTTCCCCCCATCGGGAAGATTTACTAAAATAATATTCTGCCTTCTGTAATGTGGGGCTGAGCTCACTATAAAGTATTCTTGATTGACAGTGCCCTTGCTCTCGTAAAAATGCTGGATACTGGCAACTCTGTTGGTCTCTAACACTCATGAGAGAGTTACAAGACTATATGAAACTAAGCTTCTGAGAGGTACTTGTACAGCAATTCCTACAGCAGATTGCTTTGAACAGCCACTGGTTGTGAGATTGCCAGTAGCTGGGCGATTCCTTTCGGTCCTATGTTTCTCTTCAAGAGTTCAGCTCTTTAGAAACTCAGTGGCAGGAAACTCCAGGACATCTGTATGTGGATTTTTATACTAAAAAAGAACTTTCATATCCTTGATGAATCTCCAGTTAAAGTTCAAACAAAACCCACCTCATACAGGCTTTCCACAAATATACTATCACCATTCTCAGTCAATGCATAGGCCGTATCTAGTTTTCAGTAGGAGTCTCACAAATTTAGAGCTTAATGAAACTGTTTTTTGCTATTTTAATTTATTTCCATACCTGATTTCTCTTCCTTTCTGGCTCTGTTTTCTGATTATACCACGGCTCATCACGAAACGGTTCGCTCTGCCAGACATACTTCAGGACAGTATTTATTAGCGCTTTACTGATGAGAATACAGAGGTATACAATAAGGAATACATTCATTGATCTAAAAAATAATAATAAAAAAATTAAAAATAAATTAAAATTCCACTAGTATACAAACTACAGAGTTCATTTAAAAATATTCTACTTGTGTTTCAGCCTAACATTTGCTATGATGTTAAATAACTTCCCCTGAAGATAAGTATCATAAATTCTATGTATGTCTATATGGAACATACAATTTTAGATTAAACATGGAAGACCTATCACAAATTAGCTTTGCATTACTACAGTTGGTCCATACTCAAGGAATTAATTCTATTAAATTCAATTTAATTATATGGTTAAACAGTGTTAGGATATTGAAGCACATAATCTTGGAAAAAAGTCAGTAGGTAAATCCTAACCAATGAAAGAAAAGTCTGATGGAACTGCAAAGCATACTTTATCTCAAAAATGTAAGCACAGCATTATGATGGTTTCTTTCTTATATACAGTAATTGCTTAGTACTGAGAACCTCATCTATCTGAGGTTACAAGACTCATTTCATAATTCAAAAATGAAGTAATAATGCAAATTTTAAGTTCCTTTACTTCTTTCATTGTTTAAAATTAATAAATCACATACTTTTAGCTAAATGAAAATATTCCCTTTTATACATCATTCAAACATGCAGTTTTCCACCCCAAAATAAAAGTTTGAAATATTACTTTTCTACAGCAGATCGTTTCTGTGATTTTGACTGGTAATTTAATGCCATTTTTGTTTCCATGCCAGTGTAGATAGCAACACCTGAAATTAGACAACCTGTTTTACTAAAGATTACACAGTACAGCAACTTACTTGAATAAGAACACAATTCTCTAGACTATTAGATCCCACCAACTATTTCCCCTTCTATATAACTTCTGTAGTCTGAAGAAAAAGGATACAGATCAAGATGATACCCACAACTGAAAGTTGCCTTAATATTTTAGGGAAAATTTTAAGAAGCATTTACATCTCACTCTAAAATCACAGTTCCCAATTCCTTGCATTTTTATGGCTGGTGGGGTTTTTTTTCTAGGCTTCAATTTTAAAACATAAGGAATACATTGTGCAAGACAATCCAACGAGGGATAAACTACAGAATAAATCCAAGAAGAACAGAAGAAGGCTACTGATTTACTTTTCTTCAGAAAATGCTAGTAATTTATGAGGAGGGATCTTCTGATATTACTGAATTCCTCTTAAAATTGCATTTTGAGTGACTAACTCTCAGAATATTAAATACAATAAATAGAAGTAAATATAAACAAGAAAATGGATTTGAAGTGCAGAGTAAATCAGCACAATGATAAAATAATGCAGTTTTCAATATGGATCATTAATGGCAAACAAGTGCATGTGTTTTACACAGATCAGAAACAACCACTCACATATCTCTGCCTGATACTCAAGTTGACTGAGATCTTAAAATCATGCCCTGAAGTTTAAAGAAACACTACAATCTAATTATATTAGCTTATCAGTTTCAGATACCAACTAAAGCAAAGAAGGCAAGTCCAAGTCAACATATACTTTTCATCCTTTTAGCCAGCTGTCAGATTTTCATATTTTAGGCTGAGTAGTACATTGTTATTTACAACCTTCTTTTTTAGAGCGTGGAAATCGTATACAGTAGTGGATGATTTGGACCCTTGTCCCTTTTAAAACCAGAAGGGAGTCATTGACTTCATTGGGCAACAATATTAACCCACAGTCTCTGTTCAGAAGCCCTATATTCACATGAAGAATGTGTGCCATCTTCACTCATCCTTGAAAATTGAACTCCTCCCAAAAATCTTTACAATCATTATATATCATTAATACTTCTTTTACTGCAATTACAGCAACAGTAAATCTTATTAAGAAGTTGTAAATCAAGTGCTTAAAAAGAAATCATACACACAGTAGTAACTCCACATCTGCAACCCTGTTTGATTTTTGCTTATTACTTCAGCATCCTCTGAAATAATTAATACAAATATTTACCAAAGATTTTTTCTGTATTCTTTAAAGTGGCTCCTCTAAGGAGCAGATTTTCGGATCCTAATGGCCTGCAAAAGAGAAACATTCCGAAATATAAGTATTTAGAAAGAGAGAACAGGCTTTAATGGAAGCCACCGAAGAGAGGAAGGTAGTTTTACTCAGTGAATTAATTCATCAATTAATGGCATTTAACTATTTTAAGTGAAGATTAAAAAATATAGAGATTCCTAAAATTAAAGACAACCTCACAATCCAAAGCTAGCATAGGCAATCTAATTTTAAAACACGTAGAGAAAACAGTGTTTCTTCATTTCTTTCATATTGAAAGCCAGTGCATCTAAAAACCACATCTGAAGATATCTAAATGATATTAATTATCATAATTGTAAGGTGATTATTTTTAACAACACCAACTCTTTTTTTAGGTTTGTTGAGTTTCCTGCATGTTAGAATTACTTGCTGAAGACAATTTTGTCACTGTATTCCAATTATAAATGCTATACAAGGTATTGCTTTAAATGTACTACATACTTTTCAAAGCATAAAGATTAATATAGGTAAAATAATTTAATGAGAAGCAGGTGGAATTACCTACTTCTTCCCATGCTGTTTAAAGATGTTTGGAGCATATGTAACACAAACCACTATAAGACTATGAAACCAAGGGCTACTTTATTGACAGACAGCATGCAGAATTGCATGGATGACATTTTAAACTACTGCCAGGCTCTATTTATATAGCCATGGAGGATAAAATAACAAACAACAACAAAAAACCACCCAACAAGTAACCTCACTATTTTTGGATGTTATTCAAAGTGTTCTTGTGGTACAAAAAAAAAAAAGAAAAAAGGAAGAAAAAAGATAACTACAAAAAAAAAACCCAAATAAAGGAACTCTAAAGAAACAAACAAAAACTCCAGGGCTACTAACTGATGTAGAACATGCAACTAGTTCCATCAAAACCAGCAGTGTGATGTTAAACGAATGAGTTGGGCTATAGAACATTGTATAGAACAGTAAAACAATCCCAGTAGTAATAGTGCTGTTCCAGGAACACACGCCTTAAAGCCACAAATCTTCATGTTCACACTCTTAGACACAGGTTATTGCTGTTCTGATTTAAAAAGAGAGTGCTCTTTGGAATTGTATTTTCTACATATTTTCCTTTTCCTTCCCACCTGACTAAGAATCTTGATGTAAGGAAGTTTTCACAGCAGACCAAAATAATCTGCTTTTAAGTGACACATCACTCGACATGGAAAGGACAGGAGGATCCCAGGGAGGGTAAGGATGCCCACTACCTGGAAGAGGGAAGCCATAACTAGGACAGTTCGTGAGGACAGTGCTCTGCCTGGCCCTCTGATCTGAGGGATCCCTAGCAAGAATTCAGCCCCAAACAGCCAAGAGAGGTGTGAAGTGCCCTGGATGGTGGCAGATTTTCACTATTTCACAGTGCAGGCATACATGTGTTTCTTCAGAGACCTTTGACATTAACAGGCTCAGCAACCAGGCTTTCTTCCCTCTTTGTTTACTGATAGAAAATTACCAATCTACAGACACATGAGCTTAAGCAGGCACTTTGCCAGAATGGAGTAAATTCTCACGTGCTGAACCTTGGATGTAATAAATGAGAAGACTTCCTGTTATTAATTTGTCTCTTTGTGGCACACACCTTATCAAAATCAGGTATGCAAAGTCTTTTCCTTGCCTACACAGAGAAGTTCCAAAGCAGAAGAGACACGAAGACTCATGACACTTTTGTACTGCTTTGTTTTTCTTCTCTGTTGGAATGGTCTGGGCTACAGACTGCTCAATGTATAGAATGCACGTCACCCACTTCAGAAAGAAACTTATTTGCACAGGAGGCAGATCCTCCTAGGTGCAGACCCAAGAAAACAGATCATTTCCTGTACCTCATATAAAATCATTTCCTTAGATGTTGCATTCTTGATCACTCACAACACTGCAGACAGTTCAGATAAATATACAAATCCTTTCCTCAGTAACACTAAACATGATATTAGCACGTGCAATCTCCAAGAAGAAGGAAGAAGAAGAATGACAGGAATACACACAATTCTGTGCACTCTGTTTGGTGTACTGCAGACACCCCATGCTGATGGAGCAGCCTTATCAAAGCTCTGCTAAAATAATTATCAACATCATTTACAAAGTAAATATAGATCAAATAAAAACTCAAGTTAAAACATGAAATATTTACGATGTACAAAATTACAGACTATAAGCTTCTAAGAGAAAAATATTTCATCAACAAGAAAAGACAGCCCAGTGTTGATGAAACAAATGGAATTTAATTATTGATACATACTCAGCCCTAACAACGATTAAGTGTATAGAAATGCTGGATTTTCCTTACCTTGCTATAGGCTCATTTCTATCATGGTAAACATTTATTCGACCAACAAATCTGCAAGGGAAATACACAAGTAGCTTAGTAGCAGTGTTATTGCTAACAGCAGTTGGTGTATTCCTATGTGTATGTCTCAACATTTCTATTTTCTTAATGTACAAGGACAAGTAATTCTCTTTATGTACAGATATGTATATGCCACACACATATACAACAAACAAGGCAAATTCTCTCACTTTTAAAATTTTTAAGGAGTGTAACAGATTATTTGAGAAAATGTTGTTTAACGCTTTGTGATCACTCACATGTTTTTCATGTATCCTTGAAGTGAATTAAACACATTTGTTCTTAAATACAATATTTGCTAATATTTAAATACAATATTAGCTATTTGCTAATCAACAATGGATTGGACAGAGTCCTACAACTAAGAGCGGATCTTCAAGGAGTCTGCAAAGATGCAACATGAGCATAACATACTGCAGGTTCACTGTTAACAACAGCAGATGTAAGTCCATCTTCATATAATCTTCCTGAAAACTTTTAAATGTTTTTTGGCCAACTACTTATTAAGAGCTCACAGCAGGAGCACCAGAAATGTTTGCTCTGCCATTTTTTTGTTGTTTGCTTGTGCTCGGATTATTAATCTGCAGTTTCTTTGTAGGAATCTTTGTGAGTCGCTTGCTTATTTTGTGAGGTTAATTCAGTTAGAACTAGGTAATATAACTCATAGTTCTCTATAACCAGGTACAAACAAACTGCCATACTTCACAATACACTGAAAATGAACAAACGAATCAGGGTGTCAAGTGTCAACCTCTCCACACTGCAGAATACCCACACTTCCCCAGGGATACTTCTCAAACTGTGAACCTTCTGACATACAGACAGCACGAGGATGCCAATATCAGTATGTACATTAAATATTAGTAAAACATATTTTTTTTTTAGGTTAAAAAAATGAATCTAAGTAGAAGTTTCAACATTTCCTCCACACACCTCAGTGAATAGTCCTGCACGTCCCCTGAGTTGTGGGCAGTCCACTTTGGAGACCCTTGCCCTAGAGGAGACCTCTGACCTACCTGCAGAAAAGGAGCAAGGATGGAAGACTAAACTGACTCCAGACTCATTTTGGGCCCTACTCTAACCATGCAGATGCAGTCAGGAGTCTTTAATGATGATATCCTTATACTGGTAGAATATGTTAAATCAAAGAGATAAGAATTATTTTCTTACTTATAAAGGTCAGGCTGAGGTTGTTCACATTCAATGGTAGCATGTAGTGCATCAATTTCTTGTTCACTGTGAAATGCCTTTGTATCTTGAACGGCATAGTGAGTCTGGCATGAATAAAAAGATGTATGTATATTGAAAAAATAAGACAGAGATATAAGGCATTTATCTGTAGATAAACTCTGGCTCATTGTGAAAAAGACATACTAGCTTTTACATGGGAACTAATATTTCAAATAAGAAGCACTTTTAAATGTCCCTTAGTGGATACATTATTTGCATACATTATTTGCAGGTGCCTTGCAATGTACTCATAAATCAGGTTAACATGAAAGCATTTAAGTACAAAAATGCTTGGGAATCATCTTTATAATTTACATGCCTATACTATACACAGACTGAAAAAAAAACAAAAAAGTTTTGAATATTTTTATAAATTAAGCAAGAAAAAAGAACTGTCAGAAACTCACACATGTCAGTGTATTCATTGTATCTGTTCACAAATATATGCATGAATATATTTTTTTCTCTGTAAAAAAAAACCAATACCGAACCTGAAAGCAAATTTTGCCTTAAAAAGAAAATGTAGAACATTTTATTACTTTATGACTGGATTCACCATCCAAACTAGCTGTTGTAACAAAACATGTTCCATCTCCTCTACTACTTGATAGAAATATTAAGTCACATGGGAATGTTTCATCTTCTTTTACCATCACAATATCACCAACCTAGAGGGAAAAAAAAAAAAAAGTATCACATGGCAGCTCAAAAGCTTAGGTTCATTCAAATATCTTGAAAATTCATAAATTTTATTCAGACCAGGATGTTACCACAGGAGCATGTAACTACAGAACTATATCTGAGAATTACACTTTGTGGAATGAATCAGGTTTACTGCATGCTACCTTTCAGGATTTCAACCATTGTGCAAATACTGAATTATTAAGCTTTGTGACATTATTTGAGTGATGGAAGATATACTCTTGCTTCAAAAATAATTACAACAAAATATTATTTCAAAAACAGCTGGAGATGTGGACTGCTTTCTTTTGCTCTTGGGGATAAGCATCTCAGAATACTGTAATTAGAGACAGTTGAAAGAAACCTAAGAATTCCAAGTCTGCCAATGAACACAAAGACATATTTTCAGTAGGATTTGTCATTAGAAGTCCACCCTACTCTTTATCCACGTTTAAAGGTGAAAAAATTAATCATCATTAATGCAAACATAAGAAAGCATCTTACAGTCTGTTAAACAGTGCAACTGAACATCCAATCAACTACCAATTCAAGAGATTACTGTAAAGCATCCCTCTGAGAGCCTTTTATAAACTGTTGGAACTCATATTTTACAGAGGAAAAATGTAATAAATGAACAAAAGCTAAAGATACAATGTATGTTTTAAGAATATCAGTTTCAATTTAAAAAATCATCAGACATCTACTAGAGATACCTTTCTGTCATAAGCCATTATCATAAGATTCAGCTTAATCTTTGTTCTCATGATATAGTTATCAAGCTGAATTCTAATATCCCTAACAATCTGCCAGGAGTTGGCTAATTCTAGTTAAACAAAATTGTCTGGTATAAGCAGGTAAAAATGAAATTGTGATAGCATTGATATGCTTTACTAAAATGTACTGAAGAACTACTAAAGAATGATGCTAAAACATTTAATTTGTAGGTAAGCATAAAGCTTTAATTAAAGACCTTAGAAAATATGTAAGGACAATTGGGTACTTCACGTCTAGGGAAAAAATTTTACCACCAAGTCTTGGGATGTTCAGATTTAGGAAAGGATTAATTTTCTAATGTACTTCCTTCTTACTACATGATTTTTTATATTTCACTTTACTCAGGCAAGTGAAGGTACACAGTGAGACAGTGAAGTGGTAGGTTTGGAACTAGAGGCAGTGAACACCTTGGCTGGAGCCAGTCTGAACAACATGGAGCCTTCATCGTGAAGAGCAGTGGAGTTTGTCTGACCACACTGCTGCTGAAATTGTCATAATCTCATAAGTGTCTCTGAGAGAACTTGCCAATCTGCCACAAAATCATTATTTGTAAAAGGCAGTGATGTGGTGAACTATAATAAAACACTCAAAATAAGAACTTTATCAAAAGCACACAAAACACTGTTAGGGCATAAACTATACCAAAGGGAATAAACTGTGCACAAACAGAGAATCCTACTACTATAAGAGGCAATTTTAAGAAGATCAGGTAATTAGATTGGTTTTACTAGCCCTCTTTACCACTGAAAACATTAATTTAACTGTCTATCAAACTAAAACACAGTGACATTATGGCAAATTTAATCATCTCTGCAGATGCTACCAAAGAAAGAATCCCAAACTGTTCAGAACTTTTAATCTAGATAGAGAGAAAGCCAGGAGGCTGGCTTGGCGATCAAAGCCATCTTGGCAGTCAAGTGTCACAGTAAGAACATGCAGGAGAAAAAACTGTACCTGGAGTTTTTCAGGTTGCCACTAAAAATATTTACACATCAGAAAGTGAATTTTCAGATACAGCTCAAAGACAAACAAGTTCTCTACATTCTGATTTTCACAGTTCATAGTGTAGAGTGGTCCTTATTTACTAATTTATCTAGCAAGATTGTCTCCGTGAGCTATGGCGTACAAATCAATCTGCAAGCCAGGAGCAAACTATAATAAAACAAGCTATCCAAAAATAAATTAAAAACCTAAACAGTTTGCAGTAGAAAAAGGGCAGAGTCAAGAAAAAAAACAGTAAACAAAATACTGACAGAGTGCTCTTGTGATGATATCTGCCAGTGTGTCAGTTACAAAGAAATCTCATCTTTTAGCAATTCTTTTTCCTTCCCTTAATGAAATGCCCACAGGCTTTTAGGGGCAGAAGGATTTGCCTTTATGTGATCTAGTCTATTTTCTTGCATAATACGGGTCTGAGAATTTTACTCTGTCACCCACAGACAGATACCCTCTCCACACAAGTATTCCCTACGTTTGTCTCTCCTACCCTTCAGTTTCCTTGAAATAGATTCTGAAAGGCAAAGAACCGGGGAGGAATTGGGAAAATATATGCAATGGATTCATTACTGTAATACAAATTCCAGTTCTATGCTACATCACTCACTTCATATACAAGGTTAAGGTACATGGAATACTGAGCACCACATCATGCCTTAGTTTTATTTATTTATTTATTTTACTATCTGGAGGCTGTAGGCAGAAGCTACCATATTCAACTGAATGGTCAGAGCAGGAAAGCAGCGAACCCTGTAGATCTATTTATGCCCAAATGAAGCTGAGCAGAAAAAGATATTCCTAACAAAGATATTAGAAACATGGGGATTCCAAACAAGCATCTATCAGATCTGCTAAATTTTAAAGATCATAACAATGACAACTTTATCTGCTCACAAGAAAAAAAAAAGAAAAAAAAGAAAAAAAAAGAGATTTTATGAAAATTAACCTTCAAATTATCAGGAAAAGAATGTAGAAGCATTCAGAAGCCCAATAAAGAGGCTGTGATTTGATGGGAAATGAAGAAGGTATTCTGAATTTGTTTTTCTCAGTAAGAAATAGGACAAATTGATAGGACTGATTGTTATAATTGGGCTTAAGTAAGTTATTAATCTGCATACCCACAGAGAACTGCAAATGCAGAAAAGACAGAAGACAAATAATGAGTGAAACATTTCAAATTAAAAAATGGAAAACAAAAGCAATAGTTATAAGAGAAGCCTTAACAGTGCACAGATAAAGCAGAAACAGGTCTAGCTTGTTACAATGCTAAATTCAGAGGCACACGATTAAGAATTAATTTATTCAAGGTCCACTTCACGAAGCTTATCATGAAATGTAATAAATACATTTTCTACACTACATTTCTGTGTAATTCTTTTTACAAAAAGCGCAAAGTAAACCTGACTCCTAAAGTCTATTAAGTCATAGTTACTTACTCTTAATTTTCTGCTTTGCTTTCTAACCAGTTTACCATGTTGAATGAAATGAACAGGGCATTGGTTCATTGCATTGTCAGCTTTATGTCGAAGCCAATCTTCATAACCCTAAAAAACAGTTAAACGGAATGATGCAGTGATGAACATTTGGCTATAAAGACAAAGAACAGCATTCTTAACCAGAGCAGATTCTTAACCAAAATAAGGAAAAAAAGAAAAGATTTTCACTAAAATAAATGAAATTGTGGTACAGTCATGTTGCCCGTATATGACAAAGAGGATTCACCGTTAAAATTGGTTAATAAAATTTTCTATTTTAATGAAGACATTCTGATAAATAGGGATGTCTATAACATATGGAACAATTTCTGATGTTTAAATAATCACCTTTTGTTCACACTCTAACTTCGAGTAAGCACGAAGTATTCATAGAAATTGCTGCTAAAAAAGTAGAAGTGTGAAAATCACATTTTGGAAAAGTACGACTCCATATTGAAAGATGACAAAAGTGAGACCATGACTGAAGGTGGTCATATTTCCTGACTACTGTACAGTTATGTCAAACTTTTTAACCCTACATACAATCTATGAGTGATGAAGATCATTGTTTGAAGAAATTTTGCAGATTGCCATGCTGATCACTGAATTATCCTATGAATTGGTGTGTTATGCCAATAGTCAAAACGAGTTTCCATTTAAAAGGTCCTGCAACGAGCTAAAGATTGGAGATGACAAAGACACCAGTGGTTAAGAGAAAAAATACCACAAAATTTTTCATATCTGACTCTCTTAGGCACATTTGAAAATCCACTGTAGAAAAAGAGTATCACTACTCAGGGTGCTCTCCGAGATACTTTGAAAAGTCACAGGGTCTTTAAAACTCCAGTGGAATAACTGCTCCAGACAAGTGGTTTTCACTTTGGCACCTGACTTGGAAAGATGCAACTGCCGTACTATATGTTATAATTCAGACTTGAATAGACCACTGTTTAACTACATTAAGATTACATTAAGTCCAGTAATTCAAATCTAATTGAATTGAAACCACAGCTAAATTACCAGCCAGTTACGATCATAATTTTTACTCATAATCAAGAGCTGAATCCCACTACAGACAATACTCAACTACATATACTTAGCACTGAAAGGCATGAAAACACAACAAATCATAGTTTCTTGGAGAACTGAGACAGGCAAAATCTGCACTTTGCATAAAGACAATGAGAATAACCAGTTATCGTATTAAGAGCCAATCAATACTATTCCCTGTACTGGGCTGGCTGAAATGAACTTTCTCCACAGTACCTGATACCGTGGCGAGGATGGACTCTTTTCAGTGGTGAAGGGTGACAGGACAAGGGGAAACAGCCGGAAACTGCAGCACAGGAAGTTCTGCACAAATGTGAGCAAGAACTTCTTTACAGTGAGGTGACGGAGCACTGGAACAGGCTGCCCAGGGAGGTGGTGGAGTCTCCTTCTCTGGAGATGTTCAAGACCTGCCTGGATGCCTCCCTGTGCGACCTGCTGTAGGGAACCTGCTTTGGCAGGGGGGTTGGACTCGATGATCTCTGGAGGTCCCTTCCAACCCCTACAATTCTGTGATTCTGTGATATGCTTCTGTGCTTTGCATTTTGGGTTAAATGGTGTTAGTAACACCCCAATGTTTCTGTGAATAATGAACAAGGGATGCGGAGCATCAAGGCTTTCCTTACAATCTCTCTCCTCTCCAGGAAGCCAGTAGCCTGGGGATGGGCAAGTGGGTGGGAGTTGCCACTGCCTGGAGAACAGACCCAAAACTGACCAAAGGGATATTCTATACCAATGTGGTGTCATCCCCAGCAAGAAAAGCTTAGTGAAAGGAGGAGGGTATATTTGTGCTGATGGTATTTTGTCTTCTGAAGTAAGCACTGAGCATACCAAAGCCCTGCTTTCCAGGAAGTGGCTGAATGTCTCCCTGCTGAAAAGTAGTGAATGGACTTTTTTTTTGTTTTTGTTTTTGCTTTGCGTGCACACACAGCTTTTGCTTTCCCTATCATACCATTATTAACTCAATTGTTGCGTCTTTTTGCCTTCCATTTTCTCCCCATCCCATGGGAGAGCAATGTTAGCTAGATGCTGGCCACTGCGTTCTCACATTGAGAGGCTGTCCTAAAAGAGCAGTTATCATTAGATTGGACTGAAGCTAAAATGCCAAATAAATAATAAACACTCAATATTTGTGATATTGTGATCTATATATATTGATGAAGAGCATAATAGCCACTAGGTGCACCTGTTATAAGCTCTCATTCTAGTTCAAATCTAGTAAAATTTTTCATGAGTTAAGTAAGGTTTATGCCAAATAAGTTATTCTTTGCACTCCTTCAAGGGGCCTGAAACTGCCAAAGACAACAAATTCAGCTTTAGCTTAATCAGAGTGCAACGTCTCTCATTCCTGATTAAATCTCAATCCAGACCAAATTTATAGTATCAGAAGCTCTAATAATGCACAGATCTGATAATCATATTAATGTATTAATAGTAATAAATTAAAATATTCAATATTCATCTGAGATTACATCTACATTTAAGTGTTCATGTTAACTGGAACACTGCAGCATTAGGGTACAGCATGAAAAACTACCAATACCTTTTCCTTTTGATAGTACTGGCTTGGAAATGAAATTACAAACCTGTATAATAATACAAACCTGTATTATGCAATTTCGTTTTGTGAAAGCAACTTTTATTACTGTCTTTTATACTCAATGATGGAGCAAGAACTGATTTCTGAAAACTACTACCATTTCATGGATTAATTTGCACACTGAAAATAAGAGACTACTGTAACATCTATTGAATAGTAGTCTTCAGAAAGTACTGCAGCTATCATTATGAACTGTATGTTATCATCAACATATATTGAAGATTTCAGCCAAAATACTTTTTGTTATCTCTTCATTCTGCAGAGGATACAGAAATATAAAAAGTATCAGCAGTTTCATCTTACAAGTTTTTCTCATTCTTATTAAGCTCATTTTCAGTCTTTATGGAAAAAAATGTAATAGGATGTGGATGTGGATGGCTGCTTAGTAGCAGACAAAAGTCAAATGTACTGAGTAAATACAAGAATGCAGATGATTCCTTTGGGCACAAGAACATCAAAGTTTTAAAATAATTTACAAACTTGTGTTGAATTCATGAGACATCACATAGCATCAACCAACTTCTACTACAGCCACATACACAAAACAAAAAACAAACAAACAAACAAAAAACAACCATTACTCTGTCCAGTTTCATCATGATAATTCTTTAGGCATTGCTCTAAGATAGCACATAAAAAGACAGGGAGAAATCAAATATTACACAAATAGAACACTTCTCCTTATGTTTACTTTTGCTAAGAAAACTCCTCACCTGTTTGATAGCTGTTACAGTAATGACAAATAAAAGTGGAAGTCCGCTTGTAACTGGACTAGTAGGTGTATCAATGATCAACTGCAACAAAAGGAACAAATATATTCTGGTTATATATTCTGGCAAATGCAAGCAGTGAATTATGCAATTAAGATGTTTCAAGTACTCTTTTCACTGGTATGTTACAAAGTACCACGGAACTTCAACTAGAAAGAACAGTACTTTCATATGATTTTAAGAATACCAAGAAAAAACTTAAAAAAAAAAATATAGGCTAAAAAAATTATAGTCTAAAAAAATGGCTGCTCCAGAAATAACGCCTCTTGTTTTACTGTGTTGGCCCACGATGTCAAGAGGTGGACATTGGTGGTATGGCAGTAGAGGTTGAATCTTCCCACCAATATTCTGTTATATGTCATTGCCATACGACAGATGGCAGCAGAGGGGCACTCTGACACAACGGTGTCTGACATGGAAAAGCATCTGAAGCAAAGATGTGGAACTGAATTTCGCCATGCATAAAAAATTGGCATTGAGTGACATTCATCAGTGCTTACTGAACTCTGTACAGACCAAACAATGGATGTGAGCACAGTGACGTTGTGGGTGGTGCATTTCAGCAATGGCAACAGCAACATTGGGTCATCCCCACTGGTGCAGATGTTTTATAGGTGCAAAATGCAGGCTCTTGTTCATCACTGGCAAAAATGCATAGCTAATGGTGGTGACTACATTGAAAACAAGCATTTTGTAGTTGAGAATTTGCTCTATCAAATAGTGTTATTGTGCTCTTTGTAGCTGTTGTCATTTTCATGGAAATAAATAGGAGGCATTCCTTTTCGAGCAAGCTACATATATTTAGAACACATTCAGATACTAATGACTAGAAATAAATTTTATTTATTTGCAAGAGCTTAAATATGAGAGAAACTGGAAAGCTGAAGCTTTGGAGACAAAGCTGAGCAGAATCTGAAACAGTCATGTGCTGTTTTCATGTTATACAATGCAGATGTTCTTATGCACACAAAGAGTAAATTCTGAAATACTGAGCTGTGACTCCTACAATTATATGAGAAAGAGGCAGAATCCAAGGGACAGTTCAGTCTGTAAGAAAATTAAATTATTCTGAGAATCCAAATAGCTCTTCTTTTTATGGTGTCTGGCAAGCCAAGTGATAGAGCCTTTCATTAAATAGATTGTTATTTTTTAATACATTTAAGTGACTGTGAGAGGTTTAGAATGAAGATGTCTAGAAAGCAACAAATTAATTACTGGAGGTAAAAATTACAAAAACAAGTATTTCGGTATTATGCTAAGCAAGCATTAAAGAAGCATCCATACTTCAATTTCTCTACAGGCCCTAATGACAGGCACTTGGAAAATTTCTGTAAAGGGATCATTCTCTTATAAAAAATATAACCTTTAGCATAACTAACAAAATTTAGTCATCAACATAATTTACAAGAATGGTTTTACTCATCTGGATGCTTATTTACTACAAAATAAAGATTAAAATTCTATTGCATTTAATCAAGAGATGCTATCAAACCAGTGATGATATCAATTTGTCTTTAGGTTAGATTCACGTTTACAACCTGGGAATCAAATAAAACCCCTTTTCTTACATCATCAGTATAAAAGCCTAACCAAGCTCAACTGTTTACTTCTCCATTCATCAAAACTAGTTTTGAAGTTTCTTAAACTTTTCTAAAATCCTTGTGCTTTTTTTTTTTTTTTTCTTTTTAGGAAGAACTCAGAAACTCATTACAAAATGGGAGTAGCTTACCTGAACAAGAAAAATGATGAGAAAATAGAAGTTAGCTATTCTTCTGAACTGCTCAAACAAATTCTTTGGTATAAAGTTCCAAAACGTGTACTGAAAACAAAGCACAGATTATCACTGCTTCTGAGAGAAATATCATTAACACTCTTTTTTCTAAGAATCAGACAAATGCATAATTCACAATCCACAATTAAATTGTATTATTTTTGTTACTTTATTTAATAGCTTACTGAAATGGAATTTTAATTGGCAATAATATATTCCTAAAATCACATCATTTGCGTTATATAGGATTTTCTGAGCTGAGATAATCTTGGTACCAAGGACCTTCTGAACAGTAACAACACTCAGAGATTCGGTTACAGAACAGTTCATTTAAAGCACAGAAAAAAATTTACAAAAACATTCTGGATGCTTAACATTGCTTTTAATTCACTTTGATTTTGAACATGAGGAGGTGACTTGAGGAGGTAGGTGGCACTCTGAGCGTCAACTACGAAATCACAGCAAATTAAGAATGAAATAGAAACTGCCAGCCTCTGTACCTTGGCTTTGGTGCAAACATAGTTCTCAAAATAAACTACAGTTCTGAATGAGTGTGTGACTGCATGTTTCTCTACTAACCTTAAAAATAACTGAAATCTCACAGAATGGCTTGGACTGAAGGAGATCTTAAAGACCATCTAGCACCCATCCTCCTGCCATAGGCAGGAACACCTTCCACTAGAGCAGGTTGCTCAAAGCCCCATTCAACCTGGCCTTCAATAAAATGAAATATAACCTAAAGAAGGGCAAACAGAATATGTAAAAAATTCAAAGGAAAAAAAAGCATGAAAGTGAGTGAGAAAGAATCTTGCGACATTTGGTCCCTTCCCCTCCTCTGCAGCAAGTTCAACCTTACTCTTATGCAAATCATTCTGTAGCTCCACAAATTGGATCAGAGCATTGCTTTTTGTAAAGCATGTGAAAAATTTCATCTAGAACTGTGTGACAAACATGAAAAACTGCTTAAGAAAACTAGCGCTGTAACTTCTTATTATCCAAATTATCATTTGACACATCATAAACCAACAACTTCAAATTAACATTTATTCCAAAGAAGACAACCTAAGAAGCTTCTACTAATTATTTGCTCAGACTGTACTAATGCATACTGATAAACAAATTATGTCACAAGCTACACATCTCCTAAACTTGGCCCTGAAAGAAAATGAAACCAGTTACAGAAGGAACCTCTGTTCCATACGCAGATGAAAAAGAACTCCAAGAAGTATTTCTTCCTTGCACACGAAAACCCTACTAGGTACAGTGTGGAATCTCAGAACTGCTGAGACTGGAAGGGACCCTAAACACCATCTAGTTCCAATCCCCTTACAATGAACAAGGACATTCTTCAGTAGAATATGTTGCTAGAAGCCCCATTTAACTTGGTCTTTAGCACTTCCAGGGATCTAACTTTTATCTACTCTCTTTCCTTTAAAAACACTGCCCCTTGTTCTAACACTACACTCCATGATAAAACAGCTCTCTCCAGCTTTCTGGTTAGCTCTCTTTTGGTACCGAAAGGCCACTGTAATGTCTCTAAAGCCTTCTGCTCTCAAGAATTCTTACGCTTGGTGTCCTAGAGCTGAACACAGTTTTGCAGGTGGGGTCATGCAAGAGTGGAGCAGAGGGAGACAATCAGCTCCCTTATCCTAGTAGTCACCTCTTTTTTGGTGGAGCATAGGACACAGTCAGCCTTCCAAGCTGTAAGCACACACTGTCAGCTCATACTGTGTTTCATCAACCAGCACCTCAAGTCCTTCTCCACAGGGCTGTTCTCAATCCATTCTCCACTCGGCCAGTATTTGTGCTTGGGATTGCTCTGATCCAAGCACAGCACCTTGCACAGGGCTTTGCTGAACTGCATGAGGCTTGCCCAGGCCCGTGCCTCAAAGTCCCTCTGGATGGCAACCCTTCAAGTGTGTCTACTGCAGCACGCAGCTTGGTGCCATGTGCAAACTTGCTGAGGGTGCACTTAACTCCAACACCCATGTCACACACAAAAAATATCCAATACCACTTACAATATAGACCCATGAGGGACCCCTGCTCTGTGCTTTTATTTATTTGGGGCTAAAGCCTATACATGCGTAAGACATGAACAAAGTGTTACTCTTTTATGATGTGTCAAAAATATTTCTAAAGTAAATACTTATTCTGTTTAATAAGTTATTTCAATATTGTATCAGCTGTTAGCCAAAACCCATGCAAATGTACACATAAGAGCTGGAAAGTTAAGTGCTCTCATCTTGCAGTCAGAATACTTGCACTGGACTGGAATTCTATTCACAGTGCCCACTACCCAGTTACTTGCTTTGGCTGCACAATTTCAAAATAAGAGTGGTTAGACTGGATTAGAAGTTTTTCTTGTACAATAGTCCCAGTCATTTAAAGCTCCTGTTATGATAAGCAACTAGAGAGATGGGATTTGAATACATAGAAGGGAAGTCCACCACATGTTTTCTCCCTAGTAGTTAGTGACAGACAGCAGAACTGGCAATAAGGTATCTTGTTCTTTCCAATCTTAGAGATATACACATTACTGAGCTTAAATGGCGACAATGATACACAGACAAATTTTAGAACTTTATTATACTGGATTTCAAACATACCAACTATTTATTCTGCCTATTCTTCTCCAAAGGGAAAGTAACTATTTTTTATGGATTTTAGGCAAGAAAGATCACTAAGACTTAGACAGATATTTCCTTCCCTCACTCTCCCAACCACTGTGAGTTCACTGCAGTGTCTACAAATAGATAATTAACATTTAGCCATCATAATCACACCCAGGAGAAACAGAGAGGTTGCCAATCAGAACATGATTTCTCTCATGACTGTATTCAAGGCAAAACAAAAACCTTGGATAAAAAGACTTTAAAAGCAAACATATTAAAATGCATCAGAATACTGTTCCCAGGTAGTGAGCTAATACCATTCATCTTCTTTGGATATTTTCTAGTCATGCTTGCCAATGTGGCTTCCATCTACAAGAAGAGTCATAAGGAAGATCCGAAGAACTACAGGCCTGTCAGCCAGAAAAAGTTATGGAGCAGATCATCTTAAGGAAGACCACAGGGCATGTGTGGACAACCAAGGGATCAGGCCCAGCCTGCATGGGCTCATGGAAGGCAGGTCCCTCTTTACTAACCTGATCTTATTCTGTGATCAAGCAGCCCACCTGGTAAATGAGGGAAAGGCATTTAATGTATTCTACCTTAAACTTCATCAAAGCCTTTGACACTGATTTCCACAGCATTCTGCTGGAGAAGCTGGCAGCCTGTGGCCTGAACAGGTACAGTCTTTGCTGGGTAAAGAACTAGCTGGATGTCCTAAAGAGTGGAGGCCAATGGAGTTCCCCAGGGGTCGGTACAGGGGCCTGTCCTGTTCAATATATTTGTTGATAACCTAGATGAGGTCACAGAGTGCACCTTCAGTAAGTCTGCAAATTACACCAAGTTGGGGGGAAGCATTGATCTGCCTGGCAGTAGGAAGGCCCTACAGAGGGATCTCGACAGGCTGGATAGCTGGGCTGAGGCCAGCGAGATGAAGTTCAGTTCTGCACATCGGCCACAACAACCCCAGGCAATGCTACAGGCTTGGGGCAGAATGGCTAGAGGTCTGTGTAGAAGAAAGGGACCTGGGGATGTTGGTCAGTGCTCAGCTGAACATGAGCCAGCTGTGTGCCCTGGTGGCCAAGAAGACCAATGGCATCCTGGCTCATATCAGAAATAGTGATCTGAACAGTGAGTACACGTTTGGGGTTTCAGGTCAAGGGTAGCAGCTTGAAATCTTGAAATTAAGAGTAATTCCCAGTGAGAAACACATTAATCACAGTATGCCTATGTTCAGTCTTACCTGTCAGAAAATAAAATACAGGACCATGGACAAACATATCCCATCATAAGGTTCCTTAAAAGTAGTTACTTGTAAAACTAGATTTCTGCTACAAACTGAAAAATGATATCCTTCATGGTCCTTTATTAATTTAACCATTCATCAGTTTTATCAGTTTGAGGCTGTATCTCCAGGAACTCCGCTGATAACAGCATCCCCCAGCATTTTGAAGATTATGATATTATATTATATATTATCATATTACAAGTTAAAGAAACTAACAGTCTCAGAGAATGTTAGCAAAGAGATGCAGGAGTGTGTACTAGATCAGACGTGCTTCACTTTTTCGTATACAAAGGGAAAAGAATTAAGTCTTGTAGTGAGTGGAACAGTACCAGGTTAGGGCCTGCTTCCTTTCCTTTCCTTCCTTTGTTCTTCTCTGCCCCCTCCACCCCCCTATATATAAAGACTCCATATAAATATGAGAAACTTTACTCCGTACCAGCAGAGAATAAAAAACAACTTAATCCCAGCAGAGAATAAAAAACAATTTAATCCCAGGCTGAGTGGGGTGTTTGGCAAATGACTTCTCTTGGGAGCACAGGAGAGGTTGCAGAGAGGCACTAGCCTGGAAATCCTACCAAGAAGAGGATCATGAAGTGCTAATAGCTATTTCTAGCTCTCTGGAGGTATTGGGCATTATCCACAGAAAGAAACTACGTTACCATAAGGAAAACTGCATGATGCACTGCATCCTATGACTTCATTCTAAAGGTATTGCTTCCCATTAACTCGGACCAAGACAAGTCCATTGATGAGAAAGCACTTGCGACTGACTCAGATTAAGCCCATTAACTCTTTTTCATCGCTAAAAGCACCAGCCCCACTCATTCTTAGATACAGCTTGGTAAACCTTGCTATTTTAACCCTTGCAGCATCAGACCTGATCTTCTGCTTCACACTGCATAGCTACAAGTCAGCAGAGTGTCTGGGCACACAGCAGGAGCTCCATGTTACAACTGCTTTCAGATCCAGTCTGTCCATGCTGAAAGGCACACAAAACACTCCTTGCACTGGTGCCTTTCCCATATGCACTGAAGTCTGTCTTTTCTGCACCCCAAGACACACTAAACAAAAATTTGTGCTTCACACACACTGTGGGCTTGAGATGCTTTTCTGACTTTCAAATGCCAATGCTTAGGGCTGTGTTTGAA